ATCTTGTTTCTGTTTACGTCGAATGGAGCATTCGATGCTCAGTGAGACCCACACTTCCAAGATTAGAGATTGTTATGGTGGTGAGAGACACCCAAATTAAAAGGAGCTTCGTGCTCCATTGTCTTATTAGGTTTGAACATTATTAAAAAAAAGGTGTACCAAGTGCATGACTCTCTCGCCATTGTGGGATCTAGCAGCCTTACCGTTGAACATTATTATGTCAGCAAATTTTAGCATTGGTCCAAATTTTTTTAACCATATAAATCAGGTCCAATTTAGGTATAATTTGATCCAAAAAAGGGTAACTTGACCTAAAAAGTTTAGTTTTCAGTAAGATACCTCCATCGATATCATAGTCTGTCTTATCCATTTTTGTGTTTTGAAGATTTGTAGCAGTAGTTGGTGTAAAAATATTTTTATGAACATCATTTTGAGAGAATATATTCTTTTGCATTTTGTTTTGAGACATTGTTGGGTGACTATTATGTGAAATGTGCATTGTATGAATGGTTTTTTCATTCATAAGCAACTAATAAGTTGAAGCTATTCATAGATTCTCTTGAAGTCTTTTCGCTCTTATCTTAGGACTGTTGTCTTGGGTTGTCCAATGCTAGTTACGTGCATGGAGTACCTAAGTGCATTTAGTTATGTTGATTTTCTAGGTCAGCAGGTTGTCTCTGAAAGCTTAAAAGTGGATTACTTCTCAAATTTAGTTAGAGATTGTTATCCTTTGCAAAGAGACGGGCAGAAACCGACAGAGAAGGAGCGAAGGCACCTGGAACTGGCCTTTAACAAGCTTCCTTCCCTTTCGCGACCAGTTCTACCTTCTCATGAGCAGCAACTTGCCTAATTTGAGGTTTGGTGAAACATTTGCCTTTTTTTCTTTTTTGAGCAAATTCTTCTTCTTCTATCACACATAATTCCCAATGCGACTAGCCATGAGTTCTTCAACTTATGTAGCTTGTTTTCATGCTTTAATACTTTGAAAATGAGTTGCTTAGTTGCATGGTTAGGGCTTTCTTCAATTGACCTTTATATGCTGAACATTAAAATGCTTTGATGCCCCCTGTTTTTTTCTCATTTTTTTTTTTCTAGTTTTCTGAGAGACTGCTACTGTTGCTTTGTTTGTGCTTCAATGGGTTTCTTCTTCTGTTTTTTCTGTACATTTTAATGATGTTCAGAATGATAAGCTGAAATTATTTTCAGAAACTGAAATGTTTTTATGTTTTTTTCCTATTTGTCCACAACTGTTGCTTGCTTATGTTGCAATTGGAATTTTTCTGCTATTTCTTGTACACTGTGATTAAGTTCACAATCATATACAAGAAGTATGTCCAGAAACTGGAATTTATTTCTGTTTTCTGGTTTTGTACAGTGATTATGTTCAGAAGCTGAAAGTTAATGGCTTTCTGTTTGAATGTTTGTTTTTTTCTATGTTTATGTTTAGATACTCAAAAGTGTCTTTTTGTTTTAGGGAGTATGGCTTCAGTGGTTGCTAGTAGTGGGTCCTCAGCTTCCTGTGAAGACGACACAAGCAAACCTCTTTGGAGGTATGTTTCAAGATCTGAAAAGCCACGTGATGGAGGAGGAAATATTTTGTGGCAATGCAATTTTTGCAGTCAAACAAGTAAAAGCTCATACACTAGGGTAAGGGCTCATTTGCTGAAATTGTCTGGTTGGGGGAATAGAGCTGTCTGAAAGTTACAAGCCAAGATATTGCAGATATGTTTGACTTAGAGGAGATAGCCAATGAGAAATTGGGAATAAATGCACCAAAGAGAGTTCTATGGGGCCCCTCTAGTGAGTCATTGGCTGCTAGTATGGATATTTTTGCTCAAGAAGGTTATGATTCGAAGAAAAGAAAGGCAAGCATAAGTGGAACTGGAAGTGAAAAGGGAAGTACTGCTGCTATTGAGAAGACATTAAACTCGAAGACTCATGATCAGTTACATGCGATGATTGATAGGATGTTCTATTCTGCTGGCTTACCATTTCAACTTGCAAGGAACCCGCATTTTGTGAGCGCCTTTACATTTGCTGTGAATAATCATCTTTCAGGTTATTTGACTCCGGGGTATGATTTGTTGATGACAAAATTACTTCAACAAGAAAAGGAAAATGTTGAGAGATTGTTACAACCAATCAAGAGTACATGGAAAGAAAAAGGTGTAAGCATTGTGAGCGATGGATGGAGTGACTCACATGGGAGGGCCTTGATTAATTTTATGGCGGTGACGGAAGATGGGCCTGTGTTCCTTAAAGCCGTGGATTGTTCTAGTGCAACTAAGGACAAGTTCTTTATTTTTACTTTGATAAAAGAAGTGATTCAAAAGGTGGGTAAAGAGAACGTGATTCAAGTGATCACCGATAAAACTAAGAATTGTCAGGGGGCTGGACTTCTTATCGAAGGAGTATATCCCAATATCGTATGGACATCATGTGTTGTTCACACACTCAATCTTGCTTTGCAAGACATTTGTGCGCCAAAGAATTTTGAAAATAATCGAGTAAGTTATGATCAGTGTTGTTGGATCACACATATTATGGATGATGTTGTGTTCTTAAAGAATTTCATCATGAACAACTCCTTGAGGGTGTTAATTTTTCATGAATTTATCCCTTTGAAGTTATTTTCCGTTGCAAGTACACGTTTTGCTGCAGAAGTCGTAATGCTCAAGAGATTTAAACTCATAAAAGATAGTTTTCAAGCCATGGTTATGAGTGCAAGATGGAGTGACTATGGAGAGGATGATGTAGAGGGAGCTAAAATTGTCCTAAGCTTTTGTCCTAGGCTTTTTTTCCTCTAACTCAAACTAATTCTTGATGCTTATTAGTTATTTTCTTATTTAAGGTATTATAGTGATCAATGGCTTGAAGAAATCCCTAATCGAGTCCCTCCACACAAAAATGTGGAGGTTGCTCGAGAAAGATTGAAATGCATGATAAAATATTTTCCTCACCCAAAGGACCGCAAAAAGGCAAATATGGAATTTGATGATTTCTCAACTATGGCGGGAGATTTTGGGGATTGTGATTCAATTCGTAATCGCTACGAAATGGATCCCAAAAATTGGTGGGTCATTTATGGTGCAAATGCGTCTTTGCTTCAAGGATTAGCTTTAAAGCTACTTGTACAACCTTCTTCTTCATCATGTAGTGAGAGGAATTGGAGTACTTATTCTTTTGTGCACTCTTTGAGAAGAATAGGGATGACATCATCAAGTGCCGAAGACTTACTTCTCGTTCATTGCAATCTCCGCCTTTTGTCAAGAAGAACCCCATAGTACACGCAAGGAGAAACTCAGATGTGGGATGTTGCCGGTGATGCTTTTGATTCTTTTGGGAATGTTGGAGAGCTTGAGATTGCACAACTCTCACTTGATGAGCCAGAATTGGAGGCCATGGTCTTTTACTGATCAGGGTGATGGAGGTGATACTAGTGATGAGGCAATTGAAGTTGAACCATGATGGTTGAAATGAAACTTTTTTTTAGGGGAAGGACAACCGTTTGTTTTAGTTTATGATAAAAAGCTTTTTAAATGTTTATTAACAAATGGTGGGGATAGAAAAATTTATTTATGTATTATTCAGTGTCTGCCCTATTTTTGTGGTGAAGGCCTACAAGATAATGAATCCAAAGGTCATTTGGAGCATCAACTATTCCACTTAGAGCAACTCCAATAATGCTATCTAAAATAATTATTTAAAATAGATTTAAATATTATATTATCTACTTTAATTAATCACTTTTTCAAATTCAGTTCAACATCATTATCTATTTTAACTAACCATTTCAACTAATTTTAACTAACTTTCAATGATAAAATTTAAAAAATAACAATTTAACTATACATTATACAAATTTAATCAATTATGAACTACAGAAGTAAATATCATAGGGGTTTTGCTGAATATTGAGGTCTTGTTGGATTTTTAGGGAATTTTACTGAATTTTTGGAGAGTTTTGTTGAATTTTTGAAGAATTTTATTGAATTTTCAGAAAATTTTATTGAATTTTTCAAGAGATTTTGCTGCATTTTTTGACGTTTTACTAGAAATTTGACGATAAATCCTCTCAAATCAAAACCCTCTCAATCGGTGGAGCTTTGCCTTTGCCTTCAGTTGGTGGAGCTTTGCCTTCAATCTTCAGTCGGTGGAGCAAGCCTTCTGTGATGGGGGTGTTGTTGGCGCAAAAACAAAATAGCTAACTGTTTTGTCTCGCCAGGATAACCAATCAAATGAAAGCTATAGAAAATAACTAATATGATAAAGACAAGATTTAAGATATACCTATATAAAATTACTAAAAAGACTGATTTATTGAGGCTCTTGGAACAATTTACTTTCTTGTAGAGCATTTTACAGGGTATGCAATATTTGAAAATTGTCGTTGATGCCTTTTTATATTCTTTTTTTTTTTTTTCCCTTTGCTTGTCAGATTTTTTGTTGGCCTGCTTCAGCAGTCTTGATGTCCCAAAAGCACAACGCCATTGTCGCCACAGGCTTACTAGCTTTTGCAGCTGCAGGCTTAGCATTTCCTTTATACATGGCGTGAGTAAGTATTTGCTCACTAATAATGTCAAGAATTTTCGGTTCTTAACAGTCTGCTACGTCTTCATTGCAGTTACAATGTTACGCTCGTTCCATCCAGATCCAGTTCAACAAAAATGAAGCCACTGACTGATTCATCAAAGCTGCTACGATCTCAGGCAACTTTTCGAGTACCTTGTATCCATACTGGTTCACATCTCGTTGGACCTTACATTATGATAATCAAGTACTGTAGGTTCTATACTTAGCAAGATCTGCTGTAATACTGCTGATTGGTTATATCAAGATTCACTGGACTTGTTCTTGAATTGAATTTCTCACAGAAAAGCAAAGATCGGAGCTTCTTAAGTCACAGGGAATAACGACAATGTCAATAACAATCTTTCATTCTAAGTTTAAACTGGTTCTCTATCATATATCGGTAATAGATATCACAAAATACATCCAAAATGTCAAACACCACATTTAAACCACTAACCCAAAATATTAATCATCCAGAGATTACAAAAGTAAGAAAATTTTCACAAAAACCCACCACCCAGAAACAGACCCAAATCCTAAGAACTAGTAAACTTGGTGACGGCCTTAGTTCCCTCAGAAACAGCATGTTTAGCCAACTCACCAGGCAAAACCAACCTCACAGCAGTCTGAATCTCCCTAGAAGTAATCGTGGGTTTCTTGTTATACCTCGCGAGTTTCGAAGACTCCTGAGCAAGCTTCTCGAAAATGTCATTGATGAAGCTGTTCATAATCACCATGGCCTTGCTCGAAACCCCAATGTCAGGGTGGACTTGCTTCAGAACCTTGAAGATGTACATCTTGTATGTCTCAGAGCTCCTCTTCACCCTCTTCTTTTTCTTATCTCCGGCAGCCGCTGCACCACCGTCTTTGGGCAGCTTCTTCCGGCTTTGGGCTTCTTCTCCGCCGCCGGAGCCTTCTCAGCCACCATGGTCTTCTTCTCCTCCGCCGGTTTCTTCTCGGCTGGCTTCTTCTCAGCTTTGGGTGCCATATCTGATAGTTTTGGAGGTAAAAGAGTTCACAGAGAAAGAGAGAGTTTTGCAGAGAAATGAACGGATTCGATTGTTTGAATTGCGAGGTAATTGGGGAACGAAAGGTTGGGATATTATTTATATATAGTTTGGAGGCGAGATTTGATTGGTGGGTTGGAGTGCCGTGGATCGTGGATTTGGGCCGTCGATAAAAGTGGGAAGGACGGTGCAGATTTCGTTTGCAGATATACTGCTTACGCTTGTGGTAGTTTTTTATTGGGTCGTTTAGTTTGACGCGGATTTTGGATATGGAGCATCGATGAAAATCGGAACGGACGGTAAAGATTAGGATTTTGGGTTCTGTGGAAATCGATGCGCAAGTATTGACTTTTCGTGCTTGGCGGGTTTGAGGGCAGTGCTACAGTAACGGGCGGGATTGGATTGAAGTTTTTCCGCGTTGTACTCCGAAAAATTTTAAATTATTATTTTAAAGTTTTAAAAATTAATTTTTTTATATTACACAATTTATATATTAAAAATCTATATAATAAGATAGCTAGCTGTTTGAACTTATGGGGGTATATTTTTTCCCCTAAATTTCACACACTTTTCCTCCCAAATTTCACAAACCCAACACAAATATTCTACAGCACATAGTTACACATACTCCAATACACACTCACTACACATACACACACACATTATATATACACTCCAGCTGTACACACACATTTCAATACACACATAGTGTCATAGTTTAATATTTAGTGACTTCAGTCACGGGGTATCGCTAGTATTACAATAAGACACTTGTGTTAGTTTTTATTATTTTTTTTGTTCAAAATTAACCCTTTGACACTGACAAAAAAAATAAATTATATCGTAATATTGATACATTAAAAATGTAATATAAAAAATTTAATTTTTGAGAATATAAAATAAAAAATTTAAAAACTTGTAAGCTACAAAGTGAAATTGACCCATTGGAATATAAGGTTTACGTGGCAAATGAAATCTCAAAACAGTTTGGTCCACTTTACTATGCATGCAATAGTGGGGTGCGTGACGTGTGTATTAGGTGAGGAACAAAAATTTTGTTTTGGTGAATTATTTTAATTATTAAAAAATAAAAAATATTTTAAAAATATAATATAAATAAATAAATTTAAAATTTATTTTTAAAATATTTCAAAACGTTAATCAAAATATTAAAAAACTAGTTTTTTTTGTACCTAAAGATACAGAATAATAAAAAAAATAGTTAATAATAAATATATTTGTATTTACGCACAAAATCAAATCACAAACATAAAGGAGAGAGGACAAAATTTAAACACCAATTATACTGGGGGTAAGTGGTGGTAATGGTGATAGGCGACAATGAAAGTGATAGAAGACAGCGATGGTTATGATTGGTGGTGACGACCTTGAAGTAGTTGTAGTCGCGGGGTGACAATGGTGATGATGGTGGATTTTTGGTGACGATGGTGGTAATGGTAGTCATAGGTGATGGTGATGGTGGTTGTCAGTTGCGATGATGGGGCGACGACGGTAGTAGTGGTGGATGACAGTGGCTAGCGACGATGGTAGGCGACAACGGATGATGGTGGGTCATGGTAGTGAGTGGGGGTGGGTGCTAAAGTGAGCGACGTGGTAGTGGAATGATGGTGGTAGGTGGTGACGATGGACAACGATGGTAGCAATTGATGGTAGGGGGCAATGGGGGTGATAGTGAGACAGTGACGGTGGTGATGGGGAGTGGCGACGATGGTGGGTGGCAGCAGTGGTGGTGATAGTGGGATGACAACGGTGGTGGTGGTAGTAGTCGTGGCGTAGGGGTAAGGCAATGGGGGGTGGTAGGACAGTGGCGGTAGTGGAAAGGTATTAGCAGCGATGGTGGTGGTTGTGGTGATAGCGGTGGTGATGGTGGTTAGGTGATGGCAACGATGGTGGTGGTGGGAGTAGTGGTGATGATGGTGAAGGGTGAGGGGGGTTAAGTAGGTGATGGGGGGTAGGGTGGTGGTGGTGGTGGTATGGTGGGGTTGGAGGTGGAGGTAATGACATGGTGACAATACTGGTAGTGGTGGTGTGGTGGTGGAGCGGTGGGGGTGGCTGTAATAATGGTGGTGGTTGAGGGATGGTCATAAAGACTATTTTTTTTTTAAAGTAATTATGAAAAATTATAAATTTTAGAGACACTTTTAAAAGTCATCCCAAACACACATTTAAGGACTTATTTTTTCTATTAAATTTGGGGTGTTAATAATAGTCGTCGGATTAATTTTAAAATAAAATTTAAAGAGATCTCAATCGTAAAAAATAAAAGTCATTTTTTTATCTTTTAAGATTTGAATTGTATTGTATTTTATTATATAAATATCTTAAAATACCGATGAAAATAGAATCACATATTCACCTTCATGTTTAAAATAAACTTATCATATTCTTTTCTATTTCAACATTTGCCTTTCAGTTTTTTGGTTCAAATTCAATTAAATGATAATTGTGATATTGTATCATAGTAGAACATCTTACGTTCGGATTTCATCCTCACCTGATAATTATAAGGATGGTTACTGGATCCAAACATTAAACCCTCTATTTCACGATTGTGCTCTATTTTGCTTCTATTATATTTCTAATCTTTTCTTCTAACAACTCTTAATTTTTTTTGTGTTCTTTCAAACATGTCATACAATATTTATATAATAAAGTATAGTACAATTCAAATCTCAAAAAATAAATAAAATAATTTTTATTTTTATGGTTGAGTTCTCTTTAAATTTTACTTTAAAATTAATTCGATGACTAATATTAACACTCCAAATGTTCTATGACTTATAATTAATAATAAATACTTTTAAAAAAAATAGTGTTTGGATCCGTCTCACCACCACCACTACTCCCACCACCGTCACTGCTACCACCACCACTATCACTGTCGCCACCCAACCATTATCTCTACCACAACAACCACCATCGCTGCCACTACCCCACAACTATCATTATTACTATCATTGTCACCGTTACTACAACTAGCACCACCTCATCACCACCACCACTCTCATAGTCCCACCATCACCACCACCACTACTACCATTGCTCTCGCCACCCAATCACCACCGTCATTGTCCCACCATCACCTTCACCACCCATTACTGATTATTACTATCGTCATCCACCGCCACCACCCACCACCATGGACATCTCATTTTTATACCTATTACTACTACTACCATCGTCCCACAACCACTGTCTTCCACCATTAGCTCCCACCACCACCATTATTGTTCACTCCCACAGCCCACCATCATTGTCGTCGCCCATCATCGTTGTCAGCCCTTATCACACCTACCACCACCCGTCAACACCCACCATCACCGTCACCACACCTACCACTACCAATACCAATACCACCACCAATACTATCGTCATTTGCCACTATTCATCACATTATCGCTTAGAAACACCTATCATCGCTCATCATCAACATCAACATCGTCAGCGCCCACCACTGCCACTGCCATCGTCATCACCCCACCACCACACTACCAACCACCATCACCATCGCCCACTACCGTCACTTATGATTGACACTACCACCATTATCACCCAAAATTTACCACCACCAGCACTGTTGCCACCTATGGCTATTACTGCCGTCACGGTCGTCGCCATTCACCACCACCACCATCATCACCACTACCACTGCTCACCCCACATTACAATCGATTCTTAAATTTATTTCTTTCTCTTTTATATTTGTGATTTAATTTTGAATGTGAATATATTTATTATTGACCATTTTTTTCTATTATTCTATGACTCTTTATACGGGCAATAATCGGTAATTTAATCCAAAAAATTAGTATCAATAAAGCTGGCCAACTACTGCCAACTTCTTGTGAACAGGCCAAGTCATTCTAGGAAACTCTGTACACCTACTGTTGGGATTTAACACAATTTAAATCCACTAACAAACACACACAATCGAAGAACAAATCAAGAATATAAAGCAATAAGAAACAAGAAAGAACAATACACAGATTTTACGTGGTTCGACAATTTGCCTACGTCCACGAAGCTGCAGGGATTCACTATTGAGAGAGTTGAATATAGAGAGCGGCTGTACAATCCACAATTAACCCTAATCACCAAAATAATAGGGTTTATATGTCCTACGCACTGGGCTGTATAACGGGCCCAAAAAAAAATTTTGGCCCAAGCATTCGCTCCATGGACTAAGCCTCAGAAAATTTTCCATTAAAATCACACAACATTATTTCGGGTCGGGTCATCATCCGGATCACATATACAAACTAGACTCCATAAAAAAAAAACCAACACCTACAAATGTGAACTCCTCTTGACCAAGACATGACTCCGCATGAGCTTGAAGTTTTCGTCCAATATCAAAGTTCGCAGAGCGTCTTTCTTCGCTGGTTGTCGCCAAGAAGTCTTTTACTCTAAGGCCTATATTTATAACTCTTTTGAATGATGCATTTGTTATTGTACAATCTAGAACAACTGTAACTCAGGAAATTGTAAATCTAGTCCTAGACCTAACACTAACAACCTTAATGTCTTTTTGATGAGATGATAGTTTAAGGATGGCTGTTTTAGCTTGTTCCTTGACACGAGGAACTCCAAAACAGTACAAACATAGACAAAACCTTCAAAACAAGGTACATATATATATATATATATCAGACGAAAATTTACAACAAACATGAGGAACTCTCAGTGATCCATTTCATTACATCTTCAACTATCATGATCTAACTGCATTGCACTGCAACTTGATCAACTTTTCCCACTTTGCTCATGCAATTAACTGCTGGGGTGTGCCCAACGAACAAAGCAACATGACCCATAAGCTTATCTTTCCTAGAAAAAGTTGTTCCACATGAACACTGCCATTTCAGATCACCACAGTGCTTTTCATGAGTCCTCAAATCAGACAGCACCGAGAACTGTTTCCGATTGCATCTCTTGCAGACATACATCTTCGGGCAATGGCTCCGCTTGTAGTGATTCTTCACACAGATCATAGACTTCAATGGCTGAAACTTTGCGTGCTTTCTGTTCCACCTGCAACCTTCTTGAGGACATGAATATTTTCTCGGCAATTTTCCGGGGAAATCTGGGTTTCCACTTGAATTTCCATTGTTCTTCATTGGGTTGCTCAGAGCTGCACTGGATTTGTATTCATCCCCATGAGCTCTCATGTGCATCCTCAGATTAGCGTCCCTCTTGAACCCTTTTCCACAAACTTGGCAATAATGTGTGTACTTTGCCAATAAATCTGCAGCATCCAATTCTATGATATCATAGTTTTTTGGAGAAGAAAGCCCTTCATTATTCTCTCTCCTCCCACCCAATTCCCTTCTCTCCACTTCATCAGTATTGCTAACGCAACGATTAATATTATCATTTGTATTGCAAGTATTGAAGTTTTCACCATACCAATCAAGCGTCTCGCCATCACCGGAAAAGAAGCCTTGTCCTCCTCTATCTCCTCCTCCGCCATGAACAGCCCTATTGCCACCATAGTTCGTTTGAGAATCTTGAGGTAACAGGCCATGATGAAGCTTAACACGGTGGTGCAATTCATCGTTGGTGGGGGTGGCTGAAGTTGCACCCAGAGCCATCTGTTGGCAAGTGAACATCATGGAAGATGAAGTGACAATGATTTCTTGGACAATAGTTCCCATACTAGCTATGGCTATTGACGTTGACTCGGCGGTTGGCTCTGATCAGGAGAGACAAAGAGGCTAACAAGTGATTGAACCTGATGAAGCTTGTCTTTGAGAACTGAGAGGTGGTAAAGGAGAGAATCTGAGTGAGTGTTTGAGTTTGAGGCCGAGGTTGCTTCAATGGTGGAAGGAACAACATCTTCTGTCATACCATAAATTTGTAATCCTTGTGGGCCATTAGGGAAACATGAATTGGCCCCTGGGATCATCTTGAAACTCTTGGTTTTTTAACAAAGAAGAAAGTGCCTCCCTTTCTTTTTTGATCTCTTCTGTGTTCTAGATATCATCCACAACTCTTTTGAGAAAATCTCGGTATTGTTTAAGAGTGATTATATAGGGAAACTTAAGAAATATTCTGACCTTTTTCAGAAGGGGAGAGAGAGAGAGAGAGAGAGGGGGGGGGGGGGGTAAGTCAACTATGAGCTTCAACCCGTCACCACTTAAGGCCTCCCTCACTTCTCACCAATGTCAGAATGAGACAAACTGTGTAAAGAAATAGAGTTTGATGTGAAGTTGGGATGGATTATAATAACATTTAGCAACATTTTACTTCTATGAATTGCCCACTATTATCTTCTTGGATGTTGGACATCTCTCTCTCTCTCTAAGTGAGGAATCCTTTTAATGGCGTCAATCCTCACGCATGTCTGGAGTTGAATTTTTCAAATGGGTCATCCCCACGTAAGATAATAACGACCCTTTCATGGCGGTCAATTGTTGTAGTTGCCATCTCCTCGATCCAGTTGAAAATCTAGCAACTTGGCAGCGCATTATAATTAACCACCAAACACATTGGCTCACGTGCCCTTTTGGACCCGTCTGAGGAGTGGAGCTAGAAATTAGTCTTTTATCTGCGAAAATTATTGCTGTTAAATGCATAAAAATTGTCATTATATACTTTAGTGACTATTTTTATTGCCACTAGGCTGCTGCAATATGTGTGTCGCTAAATCATTTAGCTATGACATTTAATTGTTGCCACTAAAAATAAATTTTTTAGCCGCACCATGAAAAATGTCACTAAATGTGAAATTTTTAATCGTCATAATTATTGTAGCAAGTAAACTAAATTTTGCCACTAAAATATACTATATCACCACTAAAAACTCGATTAAAACCTGACTTTTAGTGACAACAATTAATTGAGACTAAAAATATGCATTTTACCCACAATTGAAATCACCACTAAAATTTAAAACATGATTTTTTTGACAACTTATTGTCGTTACTAATTAATACATTAAAATGAACAAAGAAACCTATCGCATAATTTTATTTTTTTTTAAAAACAGAAGAAATTTATTGAATAAATCTCAAAATTTACAAGAATAAAAAAACAGTAACTATTTTAACAGGAAAAATAGAAAAACTGTTACAGAATTCTGTTACAAGAAAAGTAGCTAAAAAATTCCCTGTACAACTGTTGTATTTGCTGGCCCTCAAGCTCAATCTCTGGCCTTTAATCATAACTCACCATCTTCTTCATCGTTTGTAGTACATAGAAGCAGCTGCAATACTTCTAAGATAACAGTACACCTGAATAGAAAAGGAGACAGACCCCTCTCTGTCCAACTGTTGAACCTGCAAATCCTGCCTACTGATCCTAGACTGATTCTACTGTAAGAGTAGTCTTCCTCCATTTTCAACTTCCATCCTTTACAGCAGCGTAGCTTCAACACAGCAACACAGAGTGCAACACATCACAGAGATGCAGCACCAACACATTTGCTTCACCAAAACACCTCAGCAATTGCTAACTGACATAACAGAAAACAGTCCAGTACGTGAAAATAATAAACTCTCACTTTCAAAGATATATTTCTCAAACCAAATCACGTGAAAATAATATTCTGATATTAACATCGTTAAATTATACGTGTACAACGCGTCATCATCAAAGAATAGGAATGAACAAAAAAAGTTATTGCATAACAATCAAGTCTCAACTACATATTCTTTTTTGGACAAGTTATTAGATCTTTTGTCTTGAAACAATAAACACAAAAAACGACAATGAAACAATAATTAAGAAGCTCCAAAACAGGGGTACAACCCATCAACATGTGGGCCATAAAAACAAAAGGAGCTAACAAAATATACCTGAACACTCCATCTCAGAGATCAACAAAAGAACTTCTAAACACAGAGAACAACTCTTTGATCAAAAAGAGAGAAGACTCCACTACAGAAATCTGAGCATAGAGCATATTTTAGGGATGCTGCTCTACTTGCTCAGAAGACCAGTGACAAAAAATATGAATTAACACAGGATAAATATCGAGCAACTAGATGAAGAAGGATTCTGCATCAAAACAATGAAAAGCCTAATATTCAAGGCTTTAATCACTCCAAAAAAAACCAATCAATCTATACAGTCTTCAATCCCCTTGTCCAGAGACATGAAGAGGCAGTATAATAGTCTTCTTCCTTAAAACTTTGGTACCCTGCTGATCTAGCTACTGCAGCTTCCTGGCTTGATCAGGAATGTTTAACAAACAGGAAAGATCAGTAGGATGAAGGACTGAAACCCATCACCCGTTAGAAAAGGAAGCCCTATCAATTACATATTAAAATCACATGAATGCATATTGATCATAAACCGAAAGCACATATCTTTAATCACTTGTAGTGCTTACATCAACTACACGGTGTAGGAATAAAAGAAGACTAGCGGCATTGCAGTTCTGCCTCGATGCGGTCATTAGAAATAAATTATTGTGTTGTATAAACATATATCATATGTGACGTCATTATCGTACACAACTGGATCTTGAGACTCAGGATCACCCTAAAATAGATCAAAACACTACAAGAATCATAAGTAGTTCCGCTTCAGCTGACTTTACTCCTCAAAACTAAACAGTTACAATTGAAACAGAATAAATGAGTAGATTCAAGTAGATTTCACAACGAAACCTCGTGTGAGAATTACAATTTATACAAATCATCAGCAAACATAAGTTATCTCTAGCTTAATTCAATGTTTCAAATCTAAGTAAATGAAAACTCCAATTCAGTCTCATTGAATCACTAATCTTATTAATTCAACAGTTTTCTATTTGAACATGAAAGTGTTCTAAATCCAGGTCAATAAAATACAGAAACTACACATAAGGTTAAACAAAAACATAAATTTGTCATAAATTAGAAATCTTTGTTTTTTTAAAAAAATTCATATTCACTTCAATAAAACACCTGGTAATCGCGTCAGACCAGAACGCGGCCCTTGATGTCGAGAAGAAAAAGTGCAGACATAGCCCCAACCATCGAGCTTAGGATTTTAGATTTCGAGATCAAATATCAGATCGACGTTGTTAGAGGTTGATGAGATTTGGAAGTATTTCTATAATTAGATGAAATTGAGGGTTTTGAATAAGGAGATTAACAGTGCGGTGGTGGTGATGGAGGTGTCTTCGAGGGAGTCTTCAAACCAGTTGGAATCGTGACGGAGAAGGAATTAAGAGATCGACGATTGAGAGAGAAAGAGAGAAAGACAGTGAGAGAGATCGACGATGTGGTGGAGGTGAATGTACTATTACACGCCCAAATTTTGTATAGTGTAATAAAATTGACATTCAGTGGCAAAAAAAATAAATGGCAGCTAAAAATAAGGCATAATTGCTGCAACTGAAAAATGTTATCACTAAAATTTTATATTATTGGTGACTAAATTTAAATTATTGTCACTAAATATTTGGAATTAGTGATGAATTAATAATGTATTTTTGTTGCAACATTTAAATTATCACTAATTAGATTCATTATCATATCTTCAATGACAACAATACTTTTTCACCACTAATTATATATATTTAGTGGAGACAAATAATTATGGCAACTAAATAATTTTAACATTATACTTTCAATGACAATAATAATTTTTTGTCACCAAACATATTCATTCAGTGATAATATTTGTAGCTACAATCTAAATTTAACGGTTAAAAGTTATTTTTTTTGTAGTGCAGGCGGCTACTTGGACTGCTCGACATTAGACCCTAAACTTTTTCATATGAAATAATCGGTATGGATAGGTCAATGGTGTAAGATTAGCCTCAGATACAAGCTAGAAACTCAAACATTACGTATTCGATCTATTAGATTTAACTGATATTTATGATTAACAGATAATTAAAATTAGTGTGATAAAGAGACTTTCCGAATCCTAGGGATCGATCGAGTAAGGCTAAACTTATCGGGTTACCAGAGATTATGTGCATAATTTTGAGTTATAGTGGTCGTCTTCTTTCATTATTGTGTTTCTTTGATTTTTGTATTGAATGTATAGCTTATAATTAAACCACAATTACGTTAGACTTTTTAGTTTGATCAAATCTAATAGACTCATTCATAGGATTGTGATGACATCAAATTCAACTTATAATGGTTGGGGCGAGATTAATAAATGGATCATGAGAAGTTGAATCAATCGATGATGGTTTGGAACCTAAGGGGTGATTTAATGGCTGGCATAATTTTTCAAAGGTCGTAGACTCATTATTTTATATACTTTTTTAGAGTTAATCACCTTTGTTTTTTACATAATATGTTCTAATCTCGCTCAGATTATACTGACCAATATCCAAACCTAAATACCTTGTAAACAAAAAAAAAGAAAAAAAAAAAAGAGGATGGTTTGATGGTTCATTTATGGTCTACTTGGTCGTCTACTATTATAAAGTGGGCGAGAGGCATTTTAATACCTTTTGTAACCCCATTTATTTCCTACTTACCTTAACTATCCGGAACTTCTTATCAACTGCATTTAACTACCCTCAAAATTTTTCTCGATATCTTCGCACTCTCGTATTTCTCTCCTCATCCTCTCTATTTCAATCCCATGCAGCCACAGGTGTGGATGGCTTGTGCATTAATTTACTTATTAGTCTATGTATTAACATTTAAAGAGAGAGAAGTTTGTCTCCTAATGTCCGATCGGGAAAGTATAAAAACAAATACGAATACGAGATACAAATGCAATATATTACAGATAAAGTAATACGACAAAACCTCAAAAAATAAGATACAGGTATGACCGTGATACGTCTATAAATATATATTTTATATTTTTATTATTATGCAATGACTTGATAACTATAATTTTTAGTGATTCTTTAATAATAATAAAAAATATTAACATTTTTTTTTATTTTTAAAAAGTTAGCTATGGTCTCAATATGGTGCATCTAATGCATGTGATTAATTAAAAGAATATGAATTTATATCAATGGAACAATTTGGGTACATCTATATGTGTCTTCCAAGTTATATGAATTTTTGTTGATGTATTGTATTGTATGTAAAATCAAAAAAAATTAAAACTAAAAATTACACACACTTCTTGGCATATATATAAAAGTATCCGCGAAATATTCATATATTTTATTTATTATTAGATACATTTAGTGTGTATCAAATACGTATCCTAGAGTAACCGATGAGTATTGTATCCGATACGGATACATTGACCTTACTGAAGTGTTTGTGCTTCACAAGTCTCCCCCTCTCAATTACCCACTAATTTAATATTCCTACCTTCTTCTTGCTTTGGTTTAACGGTTAGGGGTATTTGAACAATTTTATACACACTTCGACTAATCTCTTCTCCGATCAAATCCAGTCAAAAAGAGTCATCCAAGCCTACCTTCTATTTGATATCTTTCGTACATGCACACCCATTTTATCATCCATTTTCACAGTCTCTCCTCTATAATTCAAACCTCTTGATTATAAATTTTAAAAAATAAACTCACATCTCAATGCAAGGCCAACGAGGCTGAGGAAAATTATCGTAGTAGGTGTCCTCTTAATTTGTACCATTTTATAATTTTTTGTTAATTTTATTCTATTGAATATGCTCGTAGTTTAAAAAAATCAGAGCAAACTAATATCAATATTTATTGATAATTATTCACTATATAATACACAATATAATTATGTAATGGTGAGTAGTTTTATGGGTTTGGTGAGTTCATCGAACCTATATCATATGTGCTAGGACAATATTAATTATTATTATGCAACTTGTTATTTGGAAAATGGTTTTTGGCTGGCTGGGGCCCATTCATTCTCGTGGAGAGGAGACCTTATAGCTGACATTAATGTGTCAATACTATGTTTCAGCCGGACAATAAGGTATGTAAAAAAGAGAAATCGTTTAAAACCATCTTGTCCATTATGCTCAGAAGTCAGAATCATGGCTAGTGCAGGAAAGTTTATGTATATTTGATTAATTCTTTTTTTAGTCTGGTCAAAAATAAATCATCTATATTAAAACTAAGATATGTACGAAAGATAAATCACTCATGACCTTATTAAAGCCTCACTTTCTAAATAGGAGTTTTGGGAATTTTAACTTTGGCTTTATGAATGGTTAGAAATGACACTTCTTATCACATCTTCGGCTTGAATTCGATCTCCATAACTCATTTAGCTACTCTCATTCTCCTTCTTGTTGAAATTAAAATAGATACGTTGATATATAAATTACTAGTGTTGATCTTGTGCGATGCACGATCTAGCGTAAAATTGAAATATATGAATTCATTCTAACGGTTAAAGTAAAATTAAGCAAAACCCAAAAGATAAGAATGCCTTATAAGATGAAAAAAGGTAAAATTAAGCGAAACTCAAAAAGAAAAGAATCTCCTATAAGATGGGAAATAAAATGAATTGAAATAAAAGCATGCATCAACGAAGAAGCGTGTGTATGAAAAAGGTGAAGGAGAGAGAGAGAGAGCGAGAGAGATGATGTATGCAAATGAGACTCAGTTATTGGAGAATTAGAGATGCAAACAGTGGCTATCTGGTTGGGATTGATTACTGGACGTGGATAAGTGGGATATACTAATTTTGAATTTAATAATTAATTAATTAGAAAAAAAAAAAAACATCCACGTGATAGCGTTTGATTGGTTGAGTAGTAATTAAATAATTAAAAAACAAGAGAATTAGAGAAAGGTGGAGGGAAGATAACAAATTGCATTTCAGCAACAAATCTTTTTCTTTTTTTTTGAGCAGTAGCAACAATTTGTTTATTTTATAAAATCATAAGATTAGTGGCGCCTTATGCGATGCATGATATTTTCAATATTTTCCATCACAATTCTACCATCCCTAGCCATCGTAACAGTCACCGTCACCCCCACCCCCACCCCCACCCCTTAAGGAGGATAAAATAAAATAATAAATTTTAATTTGATGAGATCAATATATTGTCATTAAATAATTTAAGATTAAAAAAAATCGTAAGCACCCTTTTTCCTAAGTTGATTGAATTTTTTATTTTTAAAATTGTCAAATTTGATTTAGTTTTATGTCATTGGACTTTTTTTTAATAACTTAATTTCTAATTAATAAGATAACTCATAAATTTTTTCAATTGTTCTAAGTTTCTCTCCCATTATCTCTCTATTTTTCATCGTTGTCAAGTTTACATTTTCAACTATGAATGTTACCCAATGCAAGAGTTGAAAACTTCCAAGTCTTTGGCACATTTCAAGTAATTGAATTTAATTGGTCATCCGGTCAGGTTATCAAACCTATGATGAGACTGTGTTGAGAATAAAATTTATATTTCTTTAAACCTTGCTTACAAAATTTATGCACCAACGCACGTAGCCATCACACCACGCCCTCTGAGTTTACAGTTTTGGAATGGCTTGTTTTTGGCTCAACACAAAATTTTTACTCTAAGTATTGAAGAAAAATCACATGAATCATATTTTTTCATGACTTCTGTCCAAACACAACGAGAGAAAAGTGTCGTGCTTTTTCACATCCTATGATATACCAGAATGCCTAATTGCTCAAGGACTCAATAGAAAAATGCCAAAAAGATGTCATCGAAAATCTTTAATATCACTAGCATTGAGTAGTTATATTCCACTTACATGCTATCTATCAAGTATTTGAATGCCAATTCCTTCGAGCCTTGAATATGTCCCAAACAATTTTTTTTTTCAGCAAAAATTAGTGTAAACTCACCTCTTTTAATGGAGCACTTCGCTACGGTGCTAAAAAAAACCTCATTTCAGTACTGTAATTTAAATTAAAAATTGTACGTAATAGATTAGTTTTTAGCATATAGCACAGATAAGAGTTGGTGATTGGCTCACTAGGACGAGGTGCAGGACTAACATGTCGCAAGCGAGTAATGGGTTAGTTTTTAGCATAGAAGATGCAAGATTAACATGTCAGAAGCCAGTAACGTGCTTGAATGAGCAGGGTGTCAAGGAAAGAAGTAATTGTGGTATATCAGTCTAACCATCTTCGAGGTCTAAATCAATACTTTGAGTGAGGATTTGGCTTTGAGGTAATCATCATTAACAAGTAATGGGGATTAAGTGTTGCAAGAGAGGAAAGATTATCGCCTTTGTCAACTCTATGCTTAGCTTTACATCATGTCAATCCAATGATTAATGTCGGCTATAAATTTGACAAAAAAATTATTATATTTTACCTTTAAATTAAGTAATTTTTTAAATTTTATTTTGATATATTAACAATTTTTGTTCAAAAAAAATAACGAAGGATTTGTGTTTTGGAATTGATTCAGTTGAAGGGGAAATATGAAAATTTTAACGATATAAGGGGCATAATAAAATCGAGTTTATAGTTAAGTAGGTCAAAATGTAATTTTCCATTAGTTTTTCTATTGGACCCAATGTTGGTCGGAAAATGTCGGGTCGGGCCACGGGCTTCATTGCGGGCCTTATTTTGAGCTAAGGGCTTAGGACAAATCCGAGTGATTATTATTTCCATTATCATCGTCTTCCCTCTGGTCTGAATGTCGATGGAAATTGCCGGCGGCGAAGTCATCAGGGTCCAGTCCCTATCTCAGAACGGCAAAGGTCAGGTTCCAATCCAGTACATACAACCCCCAGAGAACCGTCCCAGCAAGCTTAATACTCCAAACACCGAAAGCAGTAAACTCGTCCCGGTAATCGACCTGAGCACTGGCCGGAACGCCGACCTTCTTCTTGGGGAAATCGCAGGAGCATGCAGAGAATGGGGAGCCTTTCACGTGACTAACCATGGCGTTCCGATCCGATTGCTGGACGACATGAGAAGCGCCGGCCGATCATTTTTCGAAGACAGCCACATGGCCGATAAGATCCAGTACTCATGCAACTCCAGTTCTCCGGCGTCTGAGGGCTACGGCAGCAGAATGCTGGTGTCATCTGACGACACTGTTTTGGATTGGAGGGATTACTTCGATCATCACACCTTACCCATTTCTCGCCGTAATCCTTCTCGTTGGCCTCACTTCCCTCCTAATTACAGGTTGATCTCTGCTCCTTCCTCCTTATATTGTTTTGTTCTGTTGGTGCTAACGTTCTGTTTGGTTGCTGAGAAAACACAGTGTATGGTACCAAGTCTTTCTGACTACGAAGCACGGATACGGATATGGATACTGATATGGGATACAGATACGATACGGATACGACGATCCGACAAAACTTAAAAAAATAGGATAAGAGAACGGCTAAGATACGTAATATAATAATTATAATTTATAAAGTGAATTACACATCTATCAAAGATATATAATAATAACTAACAATTCTATTATTCATAAATCATACATTCTATATTGCATACATATGCATAATATCAAGGCCATGCTTAAACAAAAGAAACCATCCGATTACAAGTCAAGCAACAAAAAACTTGCAATTTGGAATATTATCCTATTACAGGTCAAGCAACAAGACAATCTCCACTTGTTACTAAGACGTTTCCCTAATTCAAGGCTCAAAAGGAGGGTTAATCATTGGTAAAAGGAAAAAGAGACGATAGAGAAAGAGGAGAGAGCTTACCCGGTATACTTGGACACAAAGATATAGGATGTTTTTCGTCATTGAGAGATGCTATCAAGGTCAAATACAAGTCGTTGGGGGTGAAAGAGGAGATACCTGTCATCGATCGACATCAAATACAGTTGGTCAAGCGATCGTGAGAGAGAGGGGGAGCGATAGAGAGAGCAAACGAGATAGTCAGTCGACGACTGATGGGGGGCTGTAGAATTAAGGTTTTATATATATATATATTTTTTTGCTAATAAGGATCCAAATATATTTGCTCTTGTGCCCCTATACTTTTTTAAAATTCAAGTAATACCCCGCCGTATCCTTATGCGTATCTGGAGCGTATCCAAAGCGTATCCGAAAATCAAATTTATTTTTTTAATTTTAGGATACTTCTCGGCCGTATCGGATACGTATTCGGCTGTATTGGACGCGTATCCGTATCTGAGAAATATCCGATACCGATACTTTGATCTTTTGAAGTATCCGTGCTTCATAGCCTTCTGAAAATTGGATATCAAAACGAGAAACGAGAGGAATGGAAATGATTCGAAATTAAATCCCATTTGTCTATTTGACAGATGTGCTCTAGATAATTTCGCACTATGAGTCACCACCACCTTGTACGAACAGAAAGGACGGTGATGGAGTCTTGAGCAACTTGGAAGATAAGAGAACATTTAAGTGAACCGATTGTTAGAGACGGTCAAAAGAACTCCAAGCTCCGATGCTTAAGTCGGATCGTAAGTTAAAGTAGAGTATGAAGTGAATAGGTTAGGATTGAATTTTTTACCTGGTATCTAGAGGCCTTTATTTATAGCAATAGGAAGATGTGTCCCAAAGGAACCCAAACTCTGGGTTGATTGACTCAACCTCGTTACCAGGCACTAGAAGTTCAAGTTAGATTTAGACTGGGAGTCTTGTTCCTATATCTCTTATCGCCGACTCTTGGATGTTTGGAGTAGCATCTAACTAGGACTCTAGATCCTAGGCTGAACCTTAGTTGAATAACTCGTCCCACAGAAGTGGACAAGCAAGAGGAGCTTTACAGAGTACCTCTTGGCAAGTATAGTGCCTGCCAGTCGACACCCTTTTGGCAACTACCAAGCATGTGTCTGCCAGTTGGCACTTTTGCCGATCGACATTACATTAGCAAAAGGGAACCCCCACAATTGCCAAATGCCTTTCCCACTAACTTGCGGTTACTTTATGCCTCACAAAAGAAATTGTAATTCAAACACCTGAGATTCCATCCCCGTATTTGGAAATAAAAAAAATCGGAAAGAAAAATATTGGTACAATAATTAATTCAATCCATCAAGACAATACTATGATCATCTTTGTCTTTCAAATATTCTTGTATGCCGTCAAATATTATGGCCTAAAATATTCTTTCAAATATTCAACAATAATCTAATCATTTTTGTCTTTCAAATATAATGATACTTAAAATATTCATGTTTCCCACCCATCAAAGAAAGAAATGGAAAAACCATTAGTCACTAATAATATGATCATCTTTGTCTTTAAAAAAGAAAATTTCTCCGAAAATAACCCTCACGATCCACGTTATGTATGCACTCAAACACATGAATTGTATGCAACCACGGAAGTTGGCTTGGGGTGCAACCAAAGAGGTTGGTTGTAGGTGCATCCAAAGAGGTCGGCTGTAGGTGCAACTAAGGAGGTCGACTTGAAGTGAAATCAAGGAGATTGGCTCTAGGTGCAACCATGGAGGTCGGCTTGAGATGCAACAACGGAGGTTGGCTTGAGGTGCAGCCAAAGAGGTTGGCTGTAGGTACATCCAAAGAGGTCGGCTGTAGGTGCAACCAAAGAGGGCGACTTGAAGTGCAATCAAGGAGATTGGCTGTCGGTGCAACCATGGAGATCGGCTTGAGGTGCAACCACGGAGGCTGCAATAATCACAAATAGAGGAACTCTTAAGAGTTGTGATAGGTGCAACTACGGAGGCTATAATAATCACAAATAGAGGAACACTTAGAGTTGTGAAAAACAAACTTTTCTTTACTAATCAATGAGAACGTGAAACAAATGTCTTTGAATACTTATTGAAATAATAACACGTTGACTAAGCTAAAAGTAAAACTTAGTTATCTGGGTGGTTATCTGATTGCATTTGTTACTCTTCCTGCTCCTTGGTAATTTTTTCCTTGTCAATGTACCGAGAGAGGTGGTCTTGCTTGACCATCTCTTCTAGGTGGTGCTTGAGTGCCCAACAATTCTCCATCTGGTGGCTTTTGTCCTTGTGATAAGAACATTTGGAGACTTTGGTCCCACTTTGATGGATCTCCTATCATCTTAGATAGATACCTAAAATACTTATTATCTTTGATTTGATTTAGGACTTGATAGATATGCTCCTTGAAGACAGTGTTGGTTCATTGGTAGAAGTCTCTCGTTCCTTTGGATGACCCTTCTCTCGTTGATGGATTAGGAGTGTTGTCTTCCTCAATCTAGTTCTTCGTTGGTAGCCTGTCAACTAGTCCCTTGCCATCCTTCACCTTCATGTACCTCTTAATATGTTCCTGTCACACTGACATACTACGGGGCAGCCACATGGGGTGAGGTGATTCTTCAATTCATTTTCCTTGGGGAGGCCTAAACGCAAAGAGACAACATCGGTCTTCTCGTCGCACTCTTCTATGTCGGTATAGGTTTCCAAGTACCTTTTGCTATACACAGTGTTACCCCCTTAGCTCGTTGGCGACATTGGCATGGGGCAGCCTTGTCCAAAGGCGCCCATGTCTTAGCCAAATTGGCAGAATTCCCATGCATGGCTGAGGGAGACAGTCTATGCACGTGGGCACATGGGCACAAGTCAGCATGTAAACGAGGTAGTCAGGTGGCTTGAATTATGGGACAATGTTAGCTTGGAGGACTAAGACATGGGCTAGGCCATGGCTAGGCACGAATTTAATACAATTAGATGCTGAGGACTCATGAGAAAGGCACATGCATAACATGTGAAGACGTTGGGCATGTGCCTTGCAGATGGTGGCAATTCAGTGTAGTTGTTGGCTGGTGCACAGCATGTCGCAGTCTTTGTCATGTGCACACAACATGCAGTTGTAGGCAATTGCTGGCTAGGTCAGCAACCAGTTTCAACTGTCTCTGCCATGATCAACAATGGAGGGAGTGGCTAAAGGTGGTCAGCCATTCTCAGTAGACTTTGTGGGCGAATTTGAATTGTATGCAATTGCCTAGGGCGGTTGGGCTTGTAACCGCCACCCAGAATGTTATAAATAGGCATGTCTGGGTCTGTAGTGCAACCAAGAGAGTTGGGCATGTTTTTGTAAGCAAACCCAAGATTGAGTTTTCTTATACTTTACTGAGAAAGAAAGGTTTGGCCTCTGGCATGTAAAGCTTGTGTGTTGTGTGTGAGTTTGCTTGCTTGTCCCTACTTTATTCTTCTGTGCCATTCTGTGAGTGTTTGAGTGCTTGGCAGAGATTGAGTGTTAGATTTCAGTACCATCATGAGGTAGAAATTTGGTGTGAAATTTAACCCCGTGACACACTCAGAGTCTCTCCACCTTTCTGGCGTAATGCAAAGAGTGTGTCAATTGTCATCGGCTCTCAACCATTGACTCTGAGTCGAGAGACGAATTCCCCTACAAGTTGTTCCCTAGAGAAGATCAAGTTCACGGGCATCCCATGAAACCATTTAAGAGCCGATCTTCCCAAGCTGGAGGGGAACATCTTACACATCAATGCCTTATTGTTCGTCCAGAGGATCATCTTATTAGTAAAGGCCCCTACGTGGAGCACGGGATCAGACTTGTCATTATACAACTCGAAGGATGGAGGTGAGAACTTACATGGGGGCTTGGCTTCTCGTATGGACCGAACAAAAGGTGTAGTTGTCATCTTAAGTAAGGTCTGCCTTGCCCTTTTTTTGGCCGAAAATACGAGATCATATTGACCAATGTCACGATGAAGATGGTCATGAACTTCATAGGTTGGCTCAAATTAGGTACGCTTCTATCTTTCGTAATCATCGTACCACTTGTCTCGTCTAGAGTGATGGGTTGAACTTCCATGTCTTTATCTACGTTCTTTAGAGCCGTGTTCCCTATATGACTTTTGTCCCTTCTCCTGGTATCGAGCGGGTACATTCTAGGTGAAAGGTCCCTAGGAAAACGTCGAGAATTATAGCGTCTCAGTGAGTACTTTCCTTGACGGTGACCATGGGTCGAATAGCTCCTTAGCGGAGACCAGTTTCTGTGACGGGTAAATTGGGCCTCATGTGAGTGATCGTTGTAGTGGTCACTTTGACGAGGTGGGCATATGACTTGACTAGCAAGTTTATTACCCTTTTGGAGAAGGAGCCCTTGTTTGAGGGTTTCTAGCTCCTCCATCTTTTTTTTATTGTTTCTTGATGGGCAACCTCGGTAGCAGGTTCATTTCCTTCACCAAGGACCAGTAGGTTGTGACGGAGAGGGTGTTGCTCTTCTGGGCACTTTTGCCAGTCTCGAGGAAGTGCGTCGTCTGGCAATTGGAGGTCGTAATTTGAGGGATTTTCAAGGATTTGAGGATAGTGTAAGTGTCAAGCGGCTAGTTGAAGGGTTGTTAGTTCTCTCGCTAGACATGATTCAAGGCTTCTAGGTTGTCAGAAAACTTAGTCGTTTGTTATAGACGATGCCAATTGTGCAGGGATAATTTCGCACTATGAGTCACCACAGCTGGAGCCTTAAATAACCTAGTAAGACAAGAGAACACCTAAGTGAACTGATGGCCGAAGGCTGCCAAAGAGACTCCAATGCTTAAGTCAAATTGCAAGTCAAAGAAGAGTATGGAGTGAATAGGTTAGGATTGAATCCTTTACTTGATATCCGGAGGCCTTTATTTATAGCAATAGCGAAATGTGTACCAAAAGAACCCGAACTCTGGGTTGATTTGCTCAATCTCGTCATCAGGCCCTAGAAGTTCAAGGTAGAGTTAGACTAGGAGTCTTGTTCCTAAGTCCCTTATCACCAGCTCCTGGCTGTTCAGAGTAGCATTTTACTAGTGCTCTAGATCCTACTCGTCCCACGAAAGCGGGCAAGCAAGAGGAGCCTTCGTAGAGTACCTCTTGGCAAGTATAGTGCCTGCCGGTCGGCACCTTTTTGGCAGCTACCAAACATGTGTCTGCCGGTCGGCACTACATTAGCAAAAGGGATCTCCCGCAATTGCCAAATGTCTTTTCCACTAACTTGGGGTTACTTTATGCCTCACAAAAGAAATTGTAATTCAAACACCTAAGATTCCATTCCCGTGTTTGGAAGTAAAGGAAATCGGAAAGGAAAATATTGGTACAATAATTAATTCAATCCATCAAGACAATACTATGATCATCTTTGTCCTTCAAATATTCCTGTCTGTCGTCAATTATAATGGCCTAAAATATTCTTTCAATTATTCAACAATAACCTGATCATTTTTGTCTTTCAAATATAATGATATCTCAAATATTCATGTTTCCCACCCATCAAAGAAAGAAATGGAAAAACCATTATTCAACAATAATCTGATCATGTTTGTCTTTCAAAAAGCAAATTGCTCAGGAAATGACCCTTACTACCTACATTATGTAAGCACTCAAAAACAGGAACTGATCTTGACAATTAAAAGTCATCTAAAGACAGTGTATCCATTTTCCATAACTGCTAATTCTAGTTCATACTATTCTTTGATGACAAGCAATATGGGTATTGTATGCGACCACTATCTGATGTTTGAACACATACTGTCTCATTTTCCTCAAAATTCACGGACTGACATGTCTTCACTTAGTAGCTTGATATTTTTCTTATAGTTCACGCTATACTTTAGAGCATGGAATTGGACTGTTTTGAACTTTACGCGCATCAGGATAAATCCCTCTATAAAAGCATATTGAGACATTTATCTTCAATACTATATAAGTAAGAATAAACTGTTCTTGAAAAATTGAAAAGAAGTGGTGCTTAAAGAACTTTTCATGTTTCTTATTGTATAAAGTTGACAGGAAGGGAGAATCAAATGCCATCAAAGAGTTTATGGTTAAAACAAAAAGGCAAAAGGAATCAATTTATTATTCTTTTAATTTTTTGGCAATCTAAAAATTGTTGTAGCCCCTCTGTTTTTTCCAGATTAGACAAGAGTATTTCTGTCGAAGTGAATAATTTGTGCAATAATTGACTAAAAGTCCTTGGACAGAGAAATTGTGGTAGACTATAGTGATCACATGAAGGCACTTGCTCAAAAGCTGTTGGGCTTAATCTCTGAGAGTCTGGGCCTCCCATCACTGTGCATTGAAGAGTCCATTGGGGAATTCTATCAAAACATTACGATCAGTTACTACCCACCTTGCCCACAACCGGAGCTCACCCTTGGTTTGCAAGCACACTCTGACATGGGTGCCATTACTTTTCTCATCCAAGACGATGTTGGGGGCCTTGAGGTTTGCAAGGATGGTGAGTGGGTACTCGTGCATCCTTTATCTAATGCCATCTTGGTTATTTTGGCTGATCAAACTGAGGTATTGCTTCTTTCATGAACTTGGCCTTTTATCTTGGTAGCTGGATTGTTTGAAATGTTTATTTTTACGATGTGCATGCAATGGCTCATTTGTTTATTTAATTTGGTGACGTGCAATGGCTCATGACTTAGGGGATAAGTGGTATTAAATTTGTAAGTTAGATTTCTATATTCTCCTTTTTGTTCCTTCTCTTCAATATCCTGCTGTGAGATTTGTTTGTCCTAGTTACTACCTTCTTATCTCTCAGGTCTTATTCCCAAACCCCATTCCCATCACCCTTTCCCATTGCCTTTGTTTTGGCCTTCAATTTAATACTTTAAAGCCCCTACACCGTACCCTTTGCTCACCAAATAACAATAGGTGTGCGCTCTACATAGGTGACTTAACGTTCTTTTGTTGTAAGATCAACCTTATATTTGCATGTGTTTGTAAATTTTAGTATGTATTTTCAGTTCAAGTTATCATATTAGTCATTTATTTTGTAATTTTGTTTTTTTCTCTTTTGGCCAGTCTTGTGGTGGACTTCTTGTCCATACTTGACTGGGTTTTCTTATAAATTTTCATTGTGATATCATTTAAGTCTGTTTCTTATTGAAAATATTAGTCAATTATTGCAAATTGCAATGGAACTTTATTTTACATTAGCCGCAACCTATGACAGCAGGGAGGAGCCATTGTTGTTCTGCCCTTATTACTTTTCATTTTGCAACCATTAGTGTAGCAATTAAAGGAAGGCTTGTGTATAAAATAAAGTTCCAAAGCTGATTAACCAAAACACAGATGGTGAAGGACACGGAGGATCAATGGGCGAAGCATGGCAAGGGGCAGGAATGCAGTTGAAGCTCCAGAAAGTGCTCCGAGTGCAGAGAGGCACTAGAGAACAATGGAGCGTAGAGTGGAGTGCCTTAAGGTGTAGATGGCCCAAAGTATCCAAAGATATGGCTGGTGTTCTTCACGATAGGCATGCCTTAAGGTTAGGTATCGGACAAGAGGTGGTCATCTAAGAGGGGGAGAGAGAGAGGGTTATTGGGCCTAAGGACAAGTTCAACCTGGAGTTTACTATGGACTCAAGATTTAGCCAATCAGAATGAAGGTGCTGATTTTCAGGCTTGCAAGACAGGCTAATTCAACGACATTGGAGACAACTGTGGAGGGAGAGGGAGGAAGGCAAGGGCCATGGCACCCTGAAAATTGCTATGCATGGATGATCTTATGTTGATGGTTGTGTAGAAGTTTATTACAACCCTCGTCGCTTCCCCCTCCCCAACCCGAAAAAGTGAGAGCTACTCCTCCTCCTAGGGCACAGAATAGCTAATCCATTCTTATGTTAATAGGGGATGTTTACAATCTTGTAAATCTCTTTATGCAATCCTTTTAAAGTTAGGTCTTTTAGCAATTGGATATGCATTACAACGAATTGATTTTAAGCAAATACCGGCAAAGGCCTTACCGCCATCATGAATAGGCAATAAGTACTTGCTTAGCATCATCATCGTCGTCTTCTTCTTCATCTTTTTAATGTTAGATTTTGCATTATTTCACGATACTTTTTACGATTAAGGTGGTTTGGACTTTTAGAACGAAAAGCATGACTTGTTTAATGAGAACCAGTAGGTACATCAGCGGGGAAGAGTGGTGTTATTAATGGAAAGACTAGAAGAGGGATGTCGAAATTAACATGGAGAGAGGTAGTGAAGAAGGATATACTTACTTTTACTGTAGGGGAGGATATAATTGAGTTCGAATAATTGGGACAACATTATGTTTGGTTTGGTTTTGTGTTGCACATATTGGATTTGTCATTCTTTTGTGGGCGTGAAAATGCAATAAACTGGCTAAATTTGGTTTTTTAACAATTCAGTTAATTAATGTTCCCTTCTTCCCATAAGAAAAGAGAAACAAAAAAAAGTATGCTCAATTCAGACCGGTGGTTTCCGTCAAAAATTGAAGTTTTGTACCAGGAAAAAAAGGATTCATAAAATTTGTAAATTCATTGTATTTCTTTCTTCAAATAAGAAAATAGATTGATCAATAATTTCAGCATTATTATACTTGTTTTTCTATTCCGGCCAAGGAGAAGAATTCTAGCTCCACCCCTAATTAGGGAGCTACCTCTGATATGGTGGAAGTGTACTGAACAGAGACTAATGTCCCACAACAATGCAAGTTTGGTATCCCTTCTGGGAAGCCAAAATGTGTATTAGCAGGTTGGGCAGACAAGGGTGGAAAGTGTTTGTGCCATGGGCATTTAGTCATCAAGCTAGAAACAGTTTGGAAACCATGAGCTGGCATCTGTTACTTGTAGTTACAACGCCAACAAGCACTGGCCAGTGAGCTCCGTAAACTCTGTTCCCTACCCAAACACGGATCAAGCATCAGTGTGTGCATCCATTCGAGCTCAACTACCACCTTTGCATTCAGCCTCAAAGAACCACCCAAGTTAGGCCTTCTAGTTGGAAGTGGTTAACTAATTCATCCTGGTAAAGAAACCACTTGAAATACATTCTAACTTTTTACAGTTAGTTTGGGGATTGCAGGAATGGGCATTTTCTCTTGGTAGCCCATACCTGACTTGGTGCAAGCATTTGTCCTACGTCAAGCATCCACAATGTGGGCAATTATAATTGAAGGTCTAGAGAGAAAGTCCAGGGATATAATATCCAATATTTGTGGCAGTGACGGGTCAGGTGCTAAGCACCCATTGCCGGAATTTTTCCGTAAAGGCTATAATTTTGCCTAGGAGGAGATTCTCAATAAACCTGTAACCAACTGTCCATAAGAAAGGCGTGAAAATAGCCTGTGTGCTTAGAGATATTCAATAATGACAAGTGAACTGCTGTAAGGGGCCAAAAAATATGGAGCTCAATTTCTATAGAGTATGTTTCTCCTATTATGTGACTATTATTTCCTTAAAGCTCATAATATGTGCCTCCTTCATGTTATAAATTCCTTGCAAGAACAAGGCACGAGCAATGAGTAACAGTATAACACATATAAGCAGTGGCCATCATCATGTCATGTTATTTGTTCATTCATTGGAATTTCACTGAATAAGTGCTAGTTATACTCTGGTAATGCATGAGATAACTGATATCATGGCAATATTTCCCCTTACATATTTTAAGATGTAAAACACAAATAGGCCAATAAAATTGTATTGCAAGCTCCAGTCTATGAAAGCAACTAAAAGTTTCTGACATTCTTTTTATCTGCAATATTCACAGACAGTTGCATATCTTTGCAATATGGAAAGTCATTTAGCCCCTGGTTTATTATCTTTAATTTGAGATAAATGTGTGTAGCATGTTGTGGTGACCAGGTAATTTACATGCACACAGTGCTATGGTAGTAAGATTTGGTTCTCTAACTCCCAGTCTCCCACCCTCGTGGAACAACTTCAGGCACCACATCAGCTGCAATGCTGGCAGGCTTTTATTTCTAGCATTTAAGCACAAGTGTGCGATAGATTGTGGTGGTAAATCCCTGTACTCACCACTTATATGTTCTTGGAAGAGGAGCTTATTGCAGGGGAGAGTCGAAAGGCAGTGAAGTTGTGGGGACTGAATCTTGTCATCGCTTGATAGGCCTCCAAAATTTTTTATTTTATTTTGTTGCTCTAGAAGTATCTCATTTTCTTTTTCCTATGCGTGCACTGTTGTTGAACTACATGTTATTACGAAATATATTCCAAATGATTGCTTATATATCTCGTCTCCTCGCCTGAAAGTTTGTTTTAAGCTTTCTATTTTACTTTAGGAGTCATTTGTTTTGCCATTTTTTGAGCTGTTCACAGAGTAAGTGGGATTCTTTGTTTTTTTTTAATTTTGTTGCTTTTGGAGTTCTGAGAGTTATAATGTCACTTCCAGGAAACCATCATTTAAAGATGCCTGATTTTTTTATTCATATGAGAATAAAGGTTATTTTATTTTTCCTCATTAGAGAATAAATGTTCTGTGGTGCCCTTCCTGCAGATTATAACCAATGGAAAGTACAGAAGTGCTCAACATCGGGCCATAACAAATTCCAGCAGGGCACGACTCTCAGTTGCCACATTTCATGACCCTGCAAAAACAGCCAAAATATCACCAGCCTTGGAGCCTCCCAGATACAGAGAAGTTGTCTATGGGGACTACGTCTTATCATGGTACACTAAGGGGCCTGAAGGTAAACGGAATATTGATGCCCTTCTAATTGAATAGTCGATCAATTTTCTAGTTTTTTGGGGTATTACTTTGAATAATTGTGGATCAATTGTAAGTATGAGAACTCTTCATCAATGCTCATGTGGGTGGATTGTTTTCTTCCTTTTCAAATGTATTACCAATGGAAATTGGTTGTATATTTACCCATTTGGCTTTCTATGCCTTTGGCAGAAATTCGCTTTCGTATTGGGACTGCTTATTTATTCTCTCTCTTTTGGGGTTTTCTTTTTTTTTTGTTGTTGTTGTTGTTGTTGTGTGTGTGTGTGTGTGTGTGGTGGGGGGGGGGGGGGGGGGGGGGGGGAGGTGGGACTGAAGTCTTTCTGCCTACCTCTAGCTCTAGCCAGGACCATATACCATAAACATATCCTTAGTTGTGACTTTGTGGGATTGGACTAAAAATAGTCTCAGCACCACATATAATCCCGTTTGGAAGGAAAAATTAGGTCGATACTATTTCAAGCACCTAATCCTGAGCCCACCCGCTGTTTAAATCCCAGGTGGTTGGGATTTTTGGGAAGAGGGGACAATGTGATGAGGCTGCAACAGGCCAAAATGCCCTCTAGATAAATTTGACATGTCTCATCTGCCACTGTTAGTGCTGCTGTCATCACCACTACAACTAACACTATCATCAGATCCACCACCACCACAATATCATTGTAATCACCACTATCATCGTTATTGTCAACACCACATTTAGCCCAAAATTGTCACAACCAAAAAATCTTTGTCAGCATTGTTAATACCACTATCGAAAAATAGATGAATGTGTGCATATGGAGAGAGAGAGAGAGAGAGGTGTTTGAGACAACTTAGTCTTGAAGTATTGCGGTTGTTATCTTGATGCTCGTCGGAGACCACCCAACCCAAAGTGGTAATCTTGTCAATTTCTCTCTATCTATTCTTTGTAATAACAATCGTAGGCAACACTAACAATGTGTTCATTCGTGAGATGTGGTGCCAAATTAGTGGCAGCGGTCCACCGACATTTGGTCACGTGTCAGGAATCCAATCAAATTAATCAGCAATCGGTTTACAATATAGGAACTCAAGTAAGGACCAAGAGATAGATGAAAGAACTTGACCCATGTCAATGTTATGTTCAACTTCGTGCTTGGAAGGATTTTTTGTTGTCATTTGTCTTTTCCTTCTCTTTATTCTCTTAGCAAAGTGTGACTTGAAAGTATTTTTAGCTACTCATTTTTTTAGTATACATTTTAATAAATTTTTTATATTTTTAACTACTCATTTTAAATATTATTTCTTATTCTTTTTGTATTTTTTTTTAGAAATAATGAAAGGGAGAAAGAGAGAGAATGAAAAAAAAAAGAGGAAGAGAAAGAAAATATTATAAAAAATTTTTCCATATCGTTACAGTGATACTCTAAATATAGAGTATCATTTGTAATAAAATGTCATTTTAGATATTTTGAAGATAATATGTTGTAATAGAATTTTTGGGCTAAATAGATAAAATTTAAAAATTTTGTGTGTTTTAGATTATCTGTTGAAGATACTCTTAACATTTTTTTAACAAATTTAATCAAATGTTCGCAGTCAGGAGTAAAATGATTCGAACATTCGCATGGTCGTACCAAAAACCATGTTTTACCACTTGGCTGTACTCCATAGTGCGTGGTGCCTAAATGGTTATTATTTTTATTTTTTTGGATAAATTGGGTGTTGATTTGTTAATTTGTGCTGTAATTTTGATGTTTTTGGGTAAATTATCATTATCTGAGTTTGTTTACCAAAGATTTATTAGTTGAAGGGTGAATCTGCTACAAGTGATCACATTTCAAGGGGTTTAATGTAATTTTAAAAACCACAAGGACTGTGGTAAATATGTCAAAAACTAGTAGAGGTGTTGTGGTCATTATGCCAAAACCCCCCCTCTTTTTCCAAGTTAGCTTTGTGAGTTTTTCTATTTTTCGAATTTTATAGGTTTTTAAACCCCAATTTTTCTGACCAAAAAATAAAAAGAAAAAAACCCAATTTTATCTCCCTATAATATATATATATATATATATATATATATATATATATATATATATATATATATTTTTTTTTTTTTTTTTTGTTTTCCTCTTTAACTGGAAATCACCGGGAAATTTTCAACCATCACAGTGACATTTTGGCTTTCCCCAACATGTTATTCCTTGTAACATCACAAAGCCCAGAGCAGATAAGATCACAATACACGGAAAACACTACACGAGAGGGAGAGAGACAGACCCGTTGGTGTGGCAATGGCTTCTACCGCAACGAGTCTGTCATGGAGTTCGTCTTCATGGCTTCACACTCGTAGTAGCTTAACCAAGAGCATGAATGAAACCACCAGATTCTCGGACAAAGACTCGGTGTTAGCGATAGTGGCCCAAAAGAAAGCCAAGAAAACCCGAAAGGTAGAATGAATACTACTAATTCGCGAACTGGTTTCATCTCACATTCTTCAATTTCTTCATTTCACATGCCTTAACTTTAATGATTTTGCGGTGAATTTGGGTCAGATAATACTGAAGGAGGATGTGGCGTACTTGGGAAAGAAAGGGCAACTTCTGGACGTGAAAGCTGGCTATTACAGGAATTTTTTGTCGCCTATGGGCAAAGCCCAGATCGTCACTCCCCTTCTTATCAAGTAATGTACCATTGGACCGTTTTTGGAACTTATTTGCAAAACTATGGCTACTTTTGTAATCAATTTTATATCTGTGTCATTTATACATGTAAAGATTGCAAATTTTGAGTCTCTGAATCAAGCTTGGCATTTTAAGAAAGAAACTTTTGCCATATACCCATTGATTTTACTAATTCTTAGCTGTATTCAGAGCTTTGTCTGTTGCTTCATCTATAGGAGTAGAGAAGATGTGGTTATGTATATAATAAGAGTATGCCTTTTATGTAGGCATGGAACAGCATCTGTGTATGGTAGCAATGGTCTTAATTTTGGTATTTTTCTTGGACTTTTGTCTACAAAATCATGACTCTTGTAAATCAATTTACTTGTTGATCTAGCTTGCTTGGAGTGGAGAATTTTGTTGAGCTTGGTAGAACTCAATATTTAGATTTTAGGGTAGTTGAAGAATGGAAAAGGACATCAACATAGAAACCACAACCTGGGAAAAGTGCATTTTTACTAGACATGGAAGACTACTTTGATATTTGCATGTGTTCTAAGAGGCTATTGGTTCCCCCATCATAGGTTTTGAGGTGGAAATGAATGAAATTGCCTTAGGCAGGGGATGGAAGGTGGATGGCATTGGCCATCTGCTGGTGAATGAGGGGCTGATAAGCCTTTAGGTTATGGAGAAGCTCATTAATCGCTGATTTTAATAATAAGTTTCAAAGGCCAAAAATTTCAGTAATTATGTTGGTGCTTGGTAACATGCTACTAACTCAGCTGAAATATAACACCCATTGTTAGGCCTCTCTGTCAGCCAATCCCTGGTGGTCCCTTTTTGTTTATTGATAAGTACATGGTGTTTCATGGTTCTTTTATTGGTTAATCTGTTATGTATGAACCCTTATTAAGACACCAAGAATAGCCTATTTAGCATTCTAAATATCCTTAAGTGCTTGTAGTTAGACTTTTGTTCGGCAGATGAACCTGCAATAATCTTGGTAAACAATTATTTGGATCAAGTTTTCACTGTATTTTCTTAATTCTTTCTTGTTCCAGGGAAATGAAGATTGAAGAGGAGAGAATTGAGGCGGAGAAAAAAAGGGTAATTAAGTACCACATGCACAATATCCCAGTGGATATGGTTGTAGTTTTTGAATAATATTCGATAGTACGTAGCTTTGATTTTGGGTATACTTCTTGTAGGCTGTTTTGGTTCGTCCAAAGTTTGTGTCCTTATTCATTGTAATTTATTAGAAGCAACTTTGCAGTTCAGATTCTGGCTTATTGTCGTGGATAAGTTAAACTCTAGCCAAATGGCTATTGCCCAATGTTGGTTCTCGTCAATTTTGGATAGGATACAAAACTAACAACAGTTTACTTGCACCTAGCCACTCTTGAAGTCGAATACGTGTTCTCACGCTTGTCATCGTAAGAACTAATGATGTGATGAATGGGATGAGTCTCTTTCACATAGTTTAGTATGCAACTCTTGGAAGCTTTACCATGCCTTTCTTATCTTGTGTTAAGTTTGTATTAATGATAAAGGAAAGGGTGGGGCTATTCCTACCCCACACATCTCCATTCCCACCCCATTTAATTTCTCATTATCAAACTTCTAAGCCTTCCCATTTTATACCTACCCATTAGTAATTAAGTCCACCATATACTATATACACTGGGTTTTAATAAGTAAACTCATTTTATATTTTGTCATAATTAAGGTTTCATTCTCTATCTCATCTCATGCACTCACAAAAATACTTTTTCAATATGAATTTTTCTAGTGAAATACTGGTTAGTATTACTTCTCAATTTAATTTTATGTTTGATTTCATGTTTATTGTATGAATTTTCATTATTTTTGGTATATTTTGATATCTCTGTCAAGTTTAATAATTTTTTAGTTAGAATTTATATGATGTATATATGTGTATGTTTTCAGATTATCTGTTCTTTTTTTATCTTGTTTAGGTTTTGTATCTATGCTTATTATTTTTGTTTTTGTTCGATTTTGTGTTTGTGCTTGATTTTTTTTTTCATGTTCGATTTTGCGTCTTGTGGTTTTGCGTTTTATAGTTTTGCTTGTTCCTTTAATTTTGGCTTGATTTTTTTTTTCTTCTTGTTTCAATTTGCTTCTTTTTTTCTTTTTTTTCCTTTTTTTGTTTTTTTTTTTTAAAAAAATGGTGTATATAGCATGGGGTGGACTTATTTAATAATGGGGTGGGTATAGAAAGGGTGTATTTAGTAGTTTGATAATGAAAAATTAAATGGGGTGGGAATGGAGATTTGTGGGATGGGAATAGCCTCACCCTAATGGAAAAGGCACTTAATAACTGGGATTGACCAAACACATTGCTAGGTAGATTCCTGGGCTCTTGACCCTTGGGAGGTGGACTCATTGAATTTCAGAGGTCTTGGCTTCTTTTTGCCAAGTGCCAGAAAAAACTTTCTGGAATTTATAATGAATCTAGTATTTTCAATTTCAAATTGCATGAAATGAGCCTTTTTGTTGCACTTGATATCATAAAAGGCGCACATATAATTTAAAAGCATCGGCATTCTTACTTCCTTTTCTCCTGTTTGAGACTTCACTTCCCTCATATTGTCCTTTCTCTTATGTTCTTCTACTTCTGTATTTTGGTGAGGACCCAAACTAAATAATTGATTTGTTCTCCAGATGCCTTAAATAGCAAAATACAATGAATTTGGTTCATTGGAGTAAATGATTATATTGAATTTTAGAGAGACCGGGCTTAAATGGTATCCTCTTATATTCAGGTAAAAGAAGAGGCGCAGCAACTTGCTCTTATTTTTGAAACTGTTGGAGCTTTCAAGGTGAAGCGCAAGGGTGGGAAAGGAAAACAGATCTTCGGAACGTGAGTTAGAAAATTAAGAGATAATGAGCAGTTAGGTTTTCCATTTAATGCTTTTTGCATCTAATTTCTAATGTTGTGGTTACTTTGTCAGTGTTACTGCTCAAGATCTAGTTGACATAATCAAGGCACAGCTTCAGAGGTACAATCTCCTATCTGTGCAGGTGCTAGATATGTCATATCTGACTTTTTGACTCTTGTGATAAAATTACTGAACTACTCCGAAATTTTAAACAGTACAAGTCTTTTGAATTTTATGCACCATGCAATTTTTCTTGCACAAGTTTTTAGCTGCTTGTCTGCATGGATATTTCAAACATTCTCTAAAATTCTTCTACAAAATTCTAGACCAGAGGGCATCATATGCTTCTTTTCCTGTTAACTTATAATCAATTTAAGTTGTTTCTGATAACATTGTCTTCATGATTATTTCCCAAACTCTTAACAGTATTTCAGTGGGGATCAGTAGCCTTAAGTAATTCCCAAATACTGTACATGTAGTCATGGTTATGAGTTGCTAGCACCCTGTTGCTAGTAAACCTGATGGACAAACCTGCCCACTTTCCTTTTGATAATATTTCAAGATGGGATGGTGTCAAAATGCTGCTGCTGTTTCGTATTATATCCTTTGAGAACATGGGGTTGAGTAGCTTTCCCCTTATTAATCGTTTAAGACTAATGTGGTCTGTTGGCTGCTACTCAGAGTCAAAATAATAGCATCTCTATGCTATCGTACCTGGACCATAAACCTTCCCCCAGACAGTTGTCCTTGATCTCACAGCCCCCGAAATTTCTTTCTGATCATTGAGCAATGTGTGGATCTTATGTGGCTTAAGCACAACCTACTCAACAGTTTAATCATGCCCAAAAATAGGAATAGAAACACATCAGTTAATCACAAAAGAAAACCAAAAAATTTATAAATCTGTCATAAAAATTTGCGTGCCAACTTGGATCACACTCGATGGCTTTTACCTGCTCTCATTCTTACGTGTAGGGACGTGGACAAAAGAATTGTTTCTCTTCCTGAGATTCGTGAAACAGGAGAATATGTTGCTGAATTGAAGCTTCATCCTGAAGTTAGTGCTCGAGTAAGGTTAACCGTATTTGCAAACTAAAGACCGGCACCTTTTGGAGCCCTGCTCACCAAAGTTAAAATTTGTATATGCGGTGTTCTTCAGTCAAGGTATGTATTTTGATCATCGATTCTGAGGGGGAGAAAAAGTGTTTGTGATTATATTGAAAGCCTAACTGATATCGGGAGCCACCCAGAGTTTCCCAATGGTTAAACAGTTTAGCTTGGGAGTTCTTAGTTAACATCATTAATCCAAGTTCTTTGCTAGATGGCATCTAATTTGAACCTCTTTTACCTGTTCTGTTTTGTTTTGTTTTTTTTTTCCTTCATATTGAGTTGTGATCTCCCAACATTAAGCTGTGGGACAAAATGCTTAACTACCATGGAATGGTTGGAGATAACATGTTTAGGAGCTTTTTGTCTCTAATGTTCACGATGTACTATGGAGATCAATGTTGGATTCAACCAATGGCTTTCAATTGTTCCTGGAAAATCAATGTTTAGGAGCTTTTTTTTTCGTTTTTATTGTTCCGTAAATATCAATTTTGATTTAGGTTGCCTCTTCTGGGCGTAATTATTCAATACAATGTCGATACCATTTTGTAAATCGTCCGGATTTAATTATTCAATACAATAGTAATACCACGTTGTCACCCATAATTGGTCTCGCAACATAATAACAATGCACTACATGCACATTGAGCCTGCATTATAATGGGATAAAATGTTATGAAAATGTAAAATATTAAAAAGGGTAATTTTTAAGAGCTCAATTTATTTCAAGCTAAATATTGGTGACCTAGTAATAACCTAATGCCTGAAAAATATTTTGTAATATTAAAAATCGAGCATTAATTGTGTAATATTTATATTTCAAGTGATAATTTATTTTTCCTTTCTATTTTTAATCTGTAATTTAAAGTTAGAGTGGACATAGAGAAAATAAGAGAGAGAATATGTATTGTGGGTTAGTGGAGTTGTCTGATATTGGAGAGTTTAATTGTTATGCCATTGGAGGCTATGTAGAGAAGATGTTTTTGGGCACGAATTTTTTTTTTTTTGGAATAAATTTTGTATTTTTAGAAGAAGATTAGATTAATTTTGAGTGTTATTTTTTTTATAAATTTGCAATTCAAATTGTAGATTGTTTCATAATATGAATTATGACAATTTTCTCTCTTTTTCATCCTAAATAATACTACTCTTACCAAATTTTACTTTTCAAATCAGTATAATCATTGGATCCCTTGATTTGTTTAACAAAACTTGGTAATAGTTTTTCTGAACATATTGCTTTTTTATTTTTTACAATTGAGTTGAATCTTATGTAAACTGATACTTAAAGGAGTAAATATTTAGAGGAAAAGTAATTATTAACATGTGGTATTAGGGTTGTCAATTTTCGACACGACACGTTAACACAATACGAATCGAACACAAAATTAGTGGGTTGGACACAAAATTAAACGAGACAATGGGTTAAAATACTCTTAAACACACAAAAAGGAAAAATTATGTCAAGTTCATGTCAAAATTAGGTTATCTTGATTTTAAGCTGATTAGCCCGTATATTTTAAACGGGTTGACATGATTTGGACAAAAAATTGACTTAACCCATTGTAGACATGTTTAACATGTTTATGACAGTATAGTTTGTTTATTATGTATGAATGATGTGGTCTTAATATCATTAATTATTAGTTCTTGATTCTACTATGGTAATTGACAGATAGTTCTTAACATTATTATGACAGTATACTAGTATGTTCTCACTTCAATTTTTGGGTTGAAATTTGAATACATTTTAGTTAATTTCATTGATGAGATGCGATATGTTATTTGTAAAAAAATTATTTGTAATTTTAGATGAATGATTGAATGGTGTATTTAATAGTAATGAACAAATGTGAAAATAATGTGTGTTAAATAAGTTTGTGTTAGGTGTGTTAAATAAGTTAAACATGTTATGTTATGTGTGTTAACCCGAAAATGACCAGTTTATTAAACGTGTTAAATAGGTCAGGTTCGGGTAACTCATTTAATGATCAAGTCAGGTTAATGTTTACACATCTCGACACGATTATTAAACAGATCAGTTTCAGGTTTTAGAATTTTTAACACAAATTCAAAATCAACCCGACACGAAATGATTCAACCCGACACGTTTGAAACCCTTGGTATTACTATTATCAAACACTTATAGATAAATATATTGAACTAGTGAATGCAACTATTTCAAAGACCATCACGTCGAGCTGTTAAATATTTTCTTCCTATTAGATAATATATATATAAGTTTTTTAGAGAAAAAAAAAAAAGGAAGAGGATAAGGTTAGAATTTGCAACCATATGCAAACGAACCTAAATCTTTATCACTGTATCACTCTCTCACCTCATCTATTACTTGACATATAAGTGAAATCCTACATATATATGAGAATTAGGGAAAACATTGAGAATGGAACAGAAAGAAAGTATGTGGCACTAGTATAGTATTGGTATTGCAAGTAGAATGGCCAGCAAATGGCATTGTCTGAGTGAACTGGCTTATGGACGGGGACACAGCTCACTAAACAATGAACAATGACTACATGGATGGCCACACTGCTGCCACCCAAACACTACACTCCAGCATATATATAGTGAAGACCACTATGTATATAGTTTTTGGGTTTTCCTCATAATATTTGAAAGCCTGCGATTTTCACAACCAACCAGTTGTCAAGTTGTTAGGCACGCCACTAGAAGGTGTGAGGAATTTGCTCAATTTGCACCTACTTGCCATGTACATTCTGCAAATGAGCCGAATGGCAAGGAGGGGTTACACTTTGGGTATGGGTCAATTTGAATTTTATATGGGTTTAGTCTAAAATATTCATTATATTTTTTGGACAAAAATTTTCAATACATGGGTTAGCTTGGAGCAAAAAAATCCTATCTCGATTTAAATTTAGACAATATTGGAATTGGGATAGATAGTTCTCTAAACCAAAAAATGATTAATAAACTTGAATCAATTTGATCGAGAGTTGAATTCGGATCAACGCAAGTTGAATTTGAATTTAACCCAAATTATATTTCAAGTTGTATAAGTTAAAGAGCCAAATATGGGTTCAAACCCACATAAATTTTAATCAAAATTGTATAACCCAAGTTTAAGACTTTTAAAATGAATTACACTCGAGTTGAAGTGTTTGAGTTAAATTCCTTTAGGATTTTATAGCTTAGAATAAGCCTACATTGACCTCTCAACCCTCTTGTGATTTACACTCGCAATCACACAAATTCCGTTCCTTTAAAGTTGTGTCGACTTCAAAAGACACGATAAATGTACATGTAGTTAAAATTTAATGTGTAACATCGGTCTTGGAGTTGATATGGAGTTTGGCATCTACGATTGAATCTTAGCAATACATATAATTAATTTTGCCGAACTGTGTCCCTCCGAACTTCAACCTCAAAAATTCTGCTCAATTCTAGGGGGATATATGGACAAGAACTCCAAACCATTGCTTTGGTAGGCAAGAGACGGAAATATCAAGGTATTGACCTTGCAATTAATGTGTATTTTCTTTCATTAATTAGTAATACTCTCTCTCTCTCTCACATTAGTTGTTTGGCCAGCAAGGAGAACCACCCTATACCTACCACCAAGTGGGGTGATCCAGTGGAGTACCGATCGAACTTTTCATCTAGAGGTTGGAGATTCGAGATTTAGAATCTACATTAGAATTATGCTTCTTTTCCGAGAAGTGTAATGGACGCAATTAGAAGCCTTATAATTCCATCAATGAGAGTCTATTAGAGTGGTTTCTGGTTGCTCTCTTTTGTCCCACTCTTTTTACTTAACAAAAAAAAAAAACAACCCTATATCTTATTCCTGTTATGATCGAATTAAAAAGTAAACCAGCAAGAGATTATTATGTTATTTATATATGGTGAGCTCCCCACAACATGTGGCAATGTCAATGACACCACATTGTATTTGGACATCTCACGCAATGTGGCCACATGCTTGCCTTACCTATATTCACCAAAACGTGCACTTAACAAACACTTCTGAGTTTAAGTGATGAATTAAGCCACCCACCTCTCTCAATGACAGACATTTAATGGCCTTATGGGAACCTAATTAAAGTTTATCTCATAGTAATTGAGCTTACAGAAAAGAGTCTGTCTACCAGCATGAGTAAAAATGTGACATAATTTACAAACTGACCTAATTTATTATAGTTTTTGGATTGATTGTGAGTCTCCTCGGGTTTGGAACTTGGGATCTCATACCCAACTGTTAATTTCTGACCTCAGGTGGCAGCACCTATATTAGGTATACCAATGGACCATCCAACTTATATGACCTCAAAGTTAGTTAAGAAACTTGGAAAGTAAGGGATGATTCAGTTGCTTGGTTTGGTACTCGAGTGGGCAGAGAGGTACAAATGAAGCTAACCTACTAAAAAAATATATAAAATAGGTAGCGATAGTTTTAGTGGTCGAAAAAATCTAAATTTATCGATATACATTGTTCACAAGAAATTGCATATATCTCACATTATGACAAAAATCATGAATACAAAAAAAAAAAAATCTAGAGAAAGTACAGGTGGATACATATGGGAAAGCCAGTTACCAACTCATCTTTCCTATCCGTTTATTCTGTGTCATTCAATGAAGCAGTGTAGATGGAGTTCTTTTTAGCTCTATATAGTAAAGAAATAAAAGAGGAACCTAATCCACGACTTTTGGTTGTGGTGCTGGTAGTGCCAAACCCTGCACCAACCCCCCCCCCCCCCCCCCCTCCCCTCTCACACTGATAGAGACACACACTCCCTAACCCTTAGGTAATCTAGTAGTCAAGTTTGTCTTCTTACATGTAACAAGTTTTAAGTTCAATATTTTTTACACCTTTTAAGAATTAACCATCCTTATCTCAGGGGCGTGCCATTAAACTAACCCGAGTTACGATAACAAGCTTAATTTGAAAAAAAAAAAAAAAAGACACTCTGCTCACTTTGAGTGTTACACATAGCTCTCCCACTCAAGAGAGAACAAAAACAAATAGTCAAAGAAGACAAAATGAAAAGATGCCCCCCATCACTCACTTTCCGTGAATGAAAGGCAACCATGAACACTAACCACTTACTTACTCAAAGAAGAACTCAACTTCAACAAATTGTAGATGATCAACATGAGAAAACCTTCAATAAAACAAAGAATTGATAATAACAAATCTCTTTAAAATCATAATAATGGTAATAATTCACATTGGTCCGGGTATCAACTATCAACCCTTTATTCCTAGTAATGGCAATCGACCAAGGTTGGGGAGGAGAAGACGAGATGTCGTTGGGTGGATGTGAATTGAAACTTTGGATCTTGGAGATCGTCTTCCGGGGGTGCCGGAAGGTTGAGATCGAGTGGTAGAATACTTCTTGGTTTATCACCTTCAATGGATGACTCGGTGGTCGTAGTTGTATCAAGTCCATTGACATTTATTGTGATTTGACTAATTGTGGCGGTTCTATGCCGCCTCATGTGGCCGCCCAAGGCTTGCCCTGATGAAAATTCTGACCCACAAATTGAACACTCATGTATCTTAGGCTGCTTATTACCATTCAAACTTTTGTTGGCTATTTCAGAAAGTGGTGGACTAATCTTATTGAATTGCCTTCCTGTTCCACCACAACCACCACCACCGCTACCGCCACCATCTAATGGCAAGACTGTGGCTTTTTTCTCTTCCACCATGGCCTTAGGCTTCTTGTGGCTTGCTCGGTGGCCACCAAGAGCTTGGAACGAAGGGAAAGTCCGGTTACAAGTCTTGCACTCGTAGACATAAAACCCAGCCTTACCGGTGGTTGTGGTGACCATTTCTGTGAATCTCCGACTGTTAAACTTTTCAATCTTAACTTCATCTTCTTCAATATGTCTTGGCCACCCACCTTGAGCCAAAAGAATTAGGCAATTGGCCATGTCTTCATCTTCCACGGTGCTTGTGGATATTTCACCAGAAGTTGTAGGAGATGAAATCAATGAATAAATATCACCTCCTCTTCCATCTCCGCCACTACCACCACCACCACCACCACCACCACCACCACTGGAGGAGCTAGATGTCACCGCCACGCCAAACGGGGACGAAGGCCTTTGACGCTTAGTACGCTTACCCTTAACGATCTGGGAGTGATCGTTTGACCCTGTGTATTCTTCTGGGCCTTCCATGTCAATCCCAATTCCCAAAAAAAAAAAACCCACACAAAAATGCTTAGAGAAAGTGAGAAGATGAGGAGTGAAAAGAAGAGAAGCAACTAAGAAAGCAAAGAAGAGTGATGGAGGAAGAGATGTAGGATAGTGAGCGTTGTTATATATGGTGAATGGTAAGGAAATGTTCTTTTCTAAGAGAGAGGGAATAGGGGACCCCCCGCGGGGGGGGTTAAGAAGCCACCCCTGTGAACAGTTACCTAGAGTGAGTCTGATGTCACCAATCTTCCTTGAGTTTCCAACCCTGAAAGTGTTTTTTTATGCTCACTTTCACAAGCTTTAAATGTGCATGCTCTGTTAATTGGTAACGCTTCAATTTAATTCATAGAAATGCATAACTACGGTATCAAAAATAAATAAATTATATTATATTTTTAAATTTTATAATTTTAATGAGTATTTTTTTATAATTTTTATGAGTTATTTTACAACAAAAAAAAATTATAATTTTTGCGGGTAATTAATAATTTTTTGTGGGTATTCCCATAAAAATAATAAATGACAATATGGTATTGAATTTTTTTTTTTTTTTGATGCTGTAAGCTACTCCCATAGAAATCGTTTTTATGTATAAGCCTTTTAAATGACGAGAATTTAATGTATTTAACTAGTTGAGGATAAATGTAGGGAACTGATTTATACTAATGGTACTATATTCTAGTGGAGGAGGAGAGGTAGCTTATAGGTGAAAACTAGAGGTGAGAGAGAGAGAGTATAGTAAAAGAAAAGAGAGAAAAATGAGGGTAAAAAACTAATAGCAGAAGAAGGTTGGTTGATGTTAACGTTTGAAGGCAGTTTATAACACTCTTCTTTCTAACAGTTTGCCAACCAAAGTCATGAATAAACACCACCGTTAAAGCAAGGGATTGCACGTTAAAAGCATGCTCCACCTCATTCACTCCATGTCTTCTTAAAGTTAAAGAAAAGAACTATTTCTAGAGAGAGAGAGATGCAAGTATGAGGAGGGTGAGGCAAACCACTGAGATTCGATCGGTTGTCTTTCAAGCAAACCCATTACTTTTTTCACAACAGTTCTCTTAATTGAAGAATTGGACCTCTCTCTCTCTCTCTCTCACACTCACACACACACACAAGTGCCCATGTCAAGTGGGCTGGGGGGTGACAAGGAGAGTGTACACCATAGAGGTACCTGTCATGGCACTTTGTGTGGTGTGACTATTAGTTTATTTGTGTATACATTCATGCCTCTTAAAAGCATATTGGTTTTGCACCTCTTCTCTGACTTCTATAATGACTTCATTACTCTTCATTTACTGTTGAGAGTTGAAACCATTTCCTTTCTAAAACTTACTCTGTCAGATTCATCTAATTTTTTTAATGCTTCCTGGGTATTTCACCCATATTATACTCTAGCCATGCCCGTGGGGACTACAAAAAAGTAAATTTGATCTTGATGGTTAGGCAAAATATTTGGAAATTAAGTTTGTAATATTGAGTAACGTTAATATTGAGTAACGTTATTTGAGCAATGCTATAAAACTCAAATGAAATGCAAAAGTTAAAATTTAAATGTATATCATCATTTAAATAAGTGTGGGATGAGTGGATCCTACTATGGGTTTTACTAAAAAAAAATAGCAGAATCCACTCATTCCAGAGATGATATACATTTAGGTTTTAACTTTTGGATTTTATTTAGATTATATAACATTTTTCATGTTATTTGAACTTACAATTTATCTCATTTGCTAACTTAATTTATTATAACTTGGATTGATTATAGATCCCGCCAAATATTGAAAATTGTTATTCATCAAATAGGTTTAATAAAACCACGTCTTCATATCAATAAATTATATCAATTTTTTAGGTCCGAAGAATATTAGTCTTGTAATATTATATCCAAATTAAATGGCTATAATTTATGCAACTATAATCCAGTAGTCGCTAGTAAGATATTTAAAAGTGGGTTGCTATCTTTATGTGGTGTCATACTGAGTCAACCCAAACCGAAAATTTTGGCATTTTTTACGGTCAGTTTATGAAGAATTTATCTCTCATTAATATAATTTTGGCGTGGATGATTTACCTTTTGACCAGATTAAAGAAGGAATTAATTGAGATATGCATAAATTGATCCAAATTCCTGACTATTAAAAAAAAAATTTGTCAACCCAATGGTTTGGGATTGACAATCTATTAATCCAATACCAAAGTTATACAAAAATAAGTATAATTGGATGGACCCATCAAACCCATTATAAATAATAAAGTAATTTTTTTTTTGTGGGGGAGGGGGGGGGGAGCAAGGCATAATTATCTATAGAAAAGAGGTATAACCCATTTGTTGGCTTGTCTTTTCCTTTCTCTCCACTTCTCTTCTCCCTGGTGAAAAGAATTGGCAAACTAATGAAGCCACATTTTTTTTCCTTTCCTTCTACTCTTCAAATTATCTTTTTCATTTAGGCAACAAACTAAAATACAATTTGTCAACCATATTACATAAAGTTACAAACTTTATGTGAAGTCGGCTAATGAACTTTCCGTTCCTAATCAATTACGTTTCGGCCATCGCAAACCTCCATATACACATTAGGGTGATAATCGTGTTGTATCGTGTCAAGTTGAATTCGGGTTTAAGATACATCAACCCAAATATGACAATAGGGATGCAACTTGGGTGGGCCAACCCGAATTTAACCCGAAAAAACAGGGCTTGAATTAGAATTTTTAATATTTGGGTTAAGTTTGGACAAAAAAATCTCAACCCGAATTAAATTCGGGCAAGTCTCGACCCGAATATACATAAATATATAAATATATTTAATTAGGGTTAGTATTTATCTTCACTCTTAAAAGTCCAGACTTTCATTTTACTTCAAGTTTTCACCTTTACGCTATGCCTCCATCACTCTCAAATCCCTCTTTCACTCATCACTCATTTCTCATCTGGTTTCAAACTCTTAGTCTCCCTCTCTCACTTGTCTGAGCCTTGTCTTAGACTCTCAACCCCTCTCTCTCACTCACCACTTCTTTCTTTTTTATCAACCCGAATTAAGTAATCCGAATACAACCCAATTTTTAACCCAAAATCAATTTGAATTAAGTAATCTTAATTCAACCTAAACCCGCTCAAATTAAACTCAGGCAATATTCGGATTGAGTACCTCGGGTTAGGGTTAGGGTTAGGGTTATGGTTAAAGATTATATACATATGGTTGGACTAGAGTTGACCTCTCAATCCGCCCAATCTGCCTGAATTGCGTCCCTAAATGACATGCGTATTAAATGGGTTAACTCTTCTGAAACACGAACACGACCTGATTCTAAACACAACTAACCTGACATGACCAATGACCCAAGATTTACACAAGTTATTACATATATACAATGATATTAACGGATCGAATTTGGGATTGAGTTCAAATTTAATAGCCATAGATGTTTTAATGTTTCGACCGATTATCTAAATTCATTTTATCGTGTTTGATGGGTTTGGATTTGGATATGTCACTATTTGATCCAAATTATACTTGTGGACATGATATAGAATGATATTCAATGCCTTTTTGATCATATTGATTAAAAATTCAAATGTAACTTATTAGAAAGTTATATACAATAGACTGATTCATATAAAATCAGAATTTTCTGATTGGATTTTCAATGTTTAACGGATTCGGATCAAACATGAAATTTATTGGATTTTCAAATTTAATTCGAATTCAATTCAGAAAAAACGTTTTTATATTATCCAATCCGTTGGCAGACTGGGTCGCATATGCAACCCTGGTACAAGCTCAAGAAAATTAAAACAAAAATGAAACCAAGGACATTAATTACTAGCAAAAATAAAAAAAGAGAAGTCATACAAGCAACTACATTGTATCAATATATATCATCTTTGACTTATTCAGCATTCTTAATTATATTCTTTAGTTCCTTTTTGTATATGTGACTTACATTGATATTGTTTAGGATAGAAACGCCGCCCCACGGCCACCGCCTTGGGGTGGGGGTGGGTGGGGCGGGGGGGGGGGTGGATGTGGATTGAAGAAAGTAATTAGATACATTGCATGGAGAGATATACACGGCTATCATTATATATATATACACTTCTGATTGGTACATTAATTTACAATGAAATCAACAGAAATACTGTGGAAAAACAACTCATTCATGTAGCCAATATTCTGGAATAATTGAATTGAATTCATTTTTTTCCTCCTAATAAATAATAAAATATTGGAAATGGATTGTTTGTGCTATGGTTAGAGGATATCGATCCTCTCCAATATACTTTTTTTGCTAATTTGACTCGATAATAGATTATCGGTTATGTATTAGTGAGAGACCCACTTTTATATAGTGCGTACTCTTTAATCCATGGTGAGTGGTCTCTCATCAGAAAAAATTGAGAGAAAATGTGTGATCTAAGAGACTCTAAAGTCATGATGATTGAGGCATGTGGTTTTTGGATGTAGAATGATTTTCTATAATTATGCAACTAGAATGCTAGCATAAAGTGTTTGTTTAACTAGGAAGACTACTGTAATAGCTATAGCATATTCTTTTCTTTTTTTTCTTCCATCTAAGTTTTTCTATTGCTTTTCTTCTGGACAGATCAGGGTAATAGGTAATATGATTCACTACAATGCTAGATTGGTTGGCAAGTAATTGTCCACATCCAAGTTTATAAAAAAAAGACACGTAATTAAAACGTTTCTTGGTCATTAAAAAATAAACATCATTTTTTTCTTTCTCTACCAAATGCCAAACTTCTAATTGCTAGAATCAGTGATCCAATCCCAAGCAGGTAGTCCAATGGAGGATGGGAATAGCTATAAATTCAGATATATTAAGTTTGAAACTTGACAACTCTATTGAGATCAGACCATGACGAATATTATGAAGGATTTACTCTCATTAATTCTCTAACTCCGGCGTGAATGGTTTGTTTTTAACGGAATCGAAAAGGGATTAGTCGAAGTACGCATAAATTGACCTGGACAACCCTGACCGCAATACCAAAAAGAAGAATCAGTGTTCCACAAGCTTCACACTTGGGAAATGGTGGTGAAAGAAAAGCATAACAACAAAGAGTCATGCAATCAATTTTAATCTGATCATAGGATATGTTTGGAATTTAATTTTATGAGTCATAGTGACCCTCCTCACCTATATCCCTTGTGGTACTTAATGTTATATAGTTTATTAAGCCACGCCAAATGCACATTAATTATTC